TTTTTTTTTTCATCTGTTGTTGCTTGCTTTTGGTGGGTGTTTTATTGTATAGACAGCCTTCTTTGAACTTCCTGTGCAGCCCAGGCTGCCATCAAAATCATGATTCTCCTGCCTCCGTCTTCTGAGTGCTAGATTTCCTGGCATGTCCCACCACGCCCTACTCACAGTTTTTTAAGTAATTACATTTTGTGATTAGTAGCATGGAATAGTTCGTGGCTAGCACTTTCCTTCATTCATAGTAAAACAGTGAACCCTCCTGCCCTCGGTGACTCTAGTAATACTGCTTTGTGAGTCTCTCACCTGAACATAAAAGAAGATGCCTGCGGTTTCATCGTTAAATGGAATGGAAAAGTTAGCAAGGACAGTTGAAAAAGATGCAGTGGTATATAGTATTGTTGATGGTTTTGTTTTGTTTTTCTGTATTTCAAATAGCTTAGAAAGCAGCTCATTCCTGAGGTCAGTCCGTGGAGAAGAAAGCTCTGTAGAAAGCAGAGGTCTAGACTGTGCACACAACCTCCAGTCTCATCAGCGAATGTGATTTTCCCACAGGAACTCACAGCCCACCAGCCACCCAGGACCCACTGAGGACAGCGACTTGGCTACGGCCCTGCATCGCCTTAGCCTGCGAAGACAGAACTACTTAAGTGAGAAGCAGTTCTTCGCCGAGGAGTGGGAGCGGAAGATCCAGGTTCTGGCCGAGAAGGAAGAAGGTGGTAACTGAGACGCCCCCACAGGGACCCTCGATTCATTCTGCGCTGACCAGTCGGAGACCACAGACCTTGGCAGTGCCAGATGCCTTCGAGGCTTCATGCCAGAAAAATTGCAAATCGTCAAGCCTTTAGAAGGTAACCATTCCACAGCAGCTTTTAGAAGCTGTGTGTACGTTAGACCTCTCTCCTAGAACGGAAATCTGTCCAGTAGTTACGAGAGCACTGTGCGCACAAGTTGTCTGTCTGTCTGTGTGGCGGTGTCAGCAGAAGAGGGAAGCAGGCTTTTCCTAACAGTTGCTATGGCAAATCACTGACAGCAGTTACCATGGTGAGCCCAACAGGATGTGGTCACTACTACAGCCTCTCCTGCAAAGAACTCAACCCAAGGGGTGTCACTGACACAGGGGCACGCGTCTCCTTCAGTTCAGTTTTATCTAAGATGCAGTTTTATCTAAGATGCAAGTTAAAATCAGAATAAATATCTGACTTAGGAGATCGTGATGGTTCCTGAGTGATTCTCTGATCCTGTGGTAAAAAGTTTCTTATTAGACAAAAGTTTGAGTAGGCTGCCTGTAGGGACTCCAAGTATTGGTTAGAGTTGCCAGTTTCAGGATGACATCCCCATAGTGACACAATTAGGTGTCCATCTGGTACACGGGCAAGGGATGACCTTCGTCAGCATCCAGTAGGCCGCAGCTAAAGGGACACGTTCTCTACTCTGACACCTCCGTTTTCCTGCTCCTCGGGGAGCCCAGGGGAAACAGTCATGAACAAGTAGAGAAGTGCACAAAGAAATCCAAGTTATTTTCCGACCTAAGTGCCCAGTGTTTGCTTCCGAGTTCCTAGACTAAGCCAGGTGAAACCTGGTTTTCACCACCTGGAGGGGGCAGCCCACTTCTAAGGTCCGTGGCTTCCCTCCTGCCCGAGCAGCCTGGGTCCTGTTACAAATGCCTTAGTGGTTTTTTTTTTCCTCTTCTTCTTTAGATGTCCCTTTGAAGACTATCTTTTGAAATAGAAAAGCTATTGCAGGTTAGAGAGATGGCTCAGAGGTTAACAGCACAGAGGTCCTGAGTTCAATTCCCAGCAACCACATGGTGGTTCACAACCATCTGTAATGAGATCTGGTGCCCTCTTCTGGCCTGTAGGCATGCATGCAGGCAGAACTCTGTATACATGATAAATAAATAAATCTTAAGAAAAGAAAAGCTATCGCTCAGACGTCCAACACCATGTCATTTTCTACAGTGATCTTAAATTTACAACTTTTATCAAAACATCGAAACCAAATAAGTGTCACTGTCTTTATCATTATTGCCATGACTCACAGAACTCTAGCTTCTTAGAGACTGAGGCTCTGTGGGAAATGTAACGCTTGCGTCCCCTGCTCATCTGTCCAGGATCGCAGACTCTCCATCACTGGCAGCAGCTTGCTCAACCAAACTTGGGAACCATCCTTGACCCGCGACCAGGGGTCATTACCAAAGGCTTCACCCAGATACCCGAGGAGGTCATCTACCACCTCTCAGATTTAGAGGAGGATGAGGAGGAGGGGATCACTTTCCAGGTCCAGCAGCCGCTTCATGTGGAGCAGAAACCAGCAGCTCCCACGCCAGTAACAGGGATCTTCCTGCCACCCATCACCTCAGCAGGTGGACCGGTTACAGGTGAGACACTTGGCCTCGCACACGGCGCATTGCGTGGCCCTGTTGTGGCTACCCGGCTACCCCTGCGCCATCTTGCTGGCGCATATACTAGCGGAAGCAAGACAGTAGAAATCTGTAGCATCGCGGACGTTCCTAATTTTCTCCATTTTATCATACGAGCCTGCAAACTAAATTGGGAAGAGAAATGGATCAGGTCAATTAGTGGTTTGCAAGCCTTTTGTTTTCAGGGCCATTGATGCTCTTACGAGTCCGTGAGCCTCCAGGTTTATCTATATGGGTTATGTCTGTTGATACTAATTAAGTTAAAATAAAAACTGAGAACTTACCAAAAAAAAAATTAGCTTATTTAAGAATAAAAATTCTGAGCTGATTGGCAGTGGCGCACGCCTTTAATCCCAGCACTCGGGAGGCAGAGGCAGGTGGGTCTCTGAGTTGGAGGTCTGCCTGGTCTACAAGAGCTAGTTCCAGGACAGTCAGGACTAAATAGAGAAACCCTGTCTCAAAGAAAACAAAATAAACAAAAAAAAATTCTGTTATACAAATACTGTTTTCTGAAAAGTAACTATAGTATACATAGTAAGGAAATGGTCTTGTTTTACAATTTTGCAAGTCTAATTTGTGACTTAGTAGAAGACTCTGTATTCAGTCTGTCGCCATGTTGTTTAGATGAACAACGTGAGAAAATACACCCTCATATGAATATGCAGCTAGAACATAAAAAATATTTTAATAGTCTTCAAGAATTGTGAATGTTGTTTGAACTCAGATAAAAACTTGGTAAATGGTAGTTTCTTAAATAGTTACAGCAATGTGGAATCCAAAACCTTAGCAATGCATTTCATTCTGGGTTTTATTAAAAGTGTTTGTTCCACACTTTGAACATTTGCTCATGAATGGTTTGGTGACCTGGTTGAAAGGCTGTTAGGGTGTTCTCATGCTCAGTCGTGGATGTAAGTTTTCCAAAACTGATTTTCACTTGAAGCTTGGTAGTAAATATTGACAGCTCTCCACCCCCAAGGAAATGCCTGTCAGATTTCCAAGTCTGACTTACTATAGCTTGTGTGTTGTACTTAGCCGCACAAATGCTTTTCTATAGGTGACTGTTGTTTGTATCGGCTGCATTGTAGGCAGCGGGGGAATTTAGTGTACACTTCCTGTGTTCACATACTGCATAGCAAAAAGATTGAAGGCTTCATGATAATTTCACTCCATCAGAAACCTTCTTCAGTAAACCTGACTTTGACTAGATAAGGGTGAAGAATACAAGTGTAATCTGGTGTCATTGCCTTGATTTGTGCTAAGGAACCAGAATTTTCACCCATCACTGCTTTTGTGCCGGCATGCAAATGTCAATCCCATCAAAGAAAGAAAGCCTCATCCTCAAATGACCATGAAGTTTTCTAGAGTCAACATGCGATGCTTTAAGAACCAGGAGAGTGACTTGACCTAGGCACCTGCATAACTAGATCTTATTTTTTTAATGTGTTTTTTTCTCATTTCTGAGCTATTTTTAATCCTTTTATTTATAATTTCAAAGTACTGGAAGTTCAGTTATACACTAATCAGTTAATACTAGCATAGTCTACATATTTTCTGTTTCCATTTGCTTTCTGCGACACAAGGCAGCTGACAAACGCTGTGTTGCTAACAGAATAATGATGGGCCTTTTGTGTTATTAACCTCGTCTTTCTTTTCTGTGTTTGGTTTCCTAAAAGTCTCTGTTTCAGTTGCAACTGCGAACCCAGGGAAGTGTCTGTCATGCACAAACTCCACATTCACCTTCACCACCTGTAGGATCCTACATCCCTCTGACATCACCCAGGTCACCCCTAGGTAAGAGGGCCTGGGAAAGCAGGGGCCTCACAGGTTTCCTTCTTAAGTTCCCAGGGTTTTCATTAGTGTTCTGTAGTCACAGACTGATTGTCTTTGGACTGTTTTGACGTTGTACTTTCCCGTTTGATCATAACCCTTTGAAGTAGACAGACTATGCTGGATAGAGAGGAAACTGAGGCAAAGAAAAGTCAAGTGACTAAGCCAGGAGCTGACATGTAGGTGACTCCCCTGAGGTTGTTTGTGCCCAAAGTGAACCAGGCTGCATGGTGTGAGGTGCCACACCAGTCACAAGACCGCCTCCATCCCTGACACACCCATCACAGGACCTCCTCTATCCCTGACACACCCGTCACAGGACCTCTTCCATCCCTGACACACCCGTCACAGGAGCTCCTCCATCCCTGACACACCTGTCACAGGACCTCTTCCATCCCTAACACACCCTTCACAGGAACTCCTCCATCCCTGATACACCTGTCACAGGACCATCTCCATCCTTGAAGCACCTGTCACAGGAACTCCTCCATCCCTACCACACCTGTCACGGGAAGTGGGGTGACAGCTGAGGCTCTGAGCAGGAAATGGGGTGAGAGCTGAGACTCTGAGCAGGCTGCTCTAAACAGGAAGTCAAACGTTCACAAGTGCTATGTCCTCTGCACAGTTAGAGCTCTGGAAAGTTATTACTTAATTTATTAATCTTATACTTGTCACAATCTTTAAAACTCTTGATACTGTGATACGTATATTATCTTTTACCAGTGAAAATGTATTAAACCCTGGTAACATTTGTTCATGAATAAAGCTGACAAAAGATGAGCACTTCCATTCCACCATGACTGTAAATATATGATTTATTTAGCTTTTTTCTTAACTAAGCACAGAATAAGAAACAAGATTTAGTAGCTTTGAAGCTTTTCATTATTTTTAATTTCTTAAAAATACACATTCCTAAGAAGAACTGACAGTGCTGTTCATGGGTACCCCTGTTTTACTGTTGTTTAGGGTTAATAATATCCGAGAAAATGGCAGTTAGCAATTAGACTGTTTTTCAGTGAAATGAAGTTAGAAAGGCTACCTTTAGAACCCAGCTGGTTGGCCATCCCCGTGCAGATGCAAGGTTGCTTTCCATACAAGGCTGAGCACTTAGTGCATTTTCTTGATGGAGCAGAGCAAACATTAAGTGCCGACTTGGGGTTCCTGATCCCTGAGCATGCTCCCTCTTTTCTTCCAGCTCCGGGTTCCCGTCACTGTCCTGTGGAGGTGGTGGGAGCAGCTCCTCCAGCCCGGCTGTGAACTCCCCTGCCATGTCCTACCGGCTCAGCACTGGCGAATCCATCACCAACCGGCGTGACTCCACCATAACACTCAGTAGCACGCGGAGCCTAGCCAAGCTCCTGCAGGAGCGAGGCATCTCTGCGAAGGTGTACCACAGCCCGGCTTCAGAAATCCCGCTTCTGTGGCCTCGCCCCAAGGCCCTAGCCACCCCTTCCACACCACCAAACTCCCCATCACAGTCACCGTGCTCCTCTCCCTTGCCCTTCGAACCCCGAGTCCACGTCTCCGAGAATTTTTTGGCTTCCCGACCAGCTGAAACATTCCTGCAGGAAATGTATGGCTTAAGACCTTCAAGGACCGCGCCCGATGTTGGCCAGCTGAAGATGAACTTGGTAGACAGGCTAAAGAGACTGGGCATAGCCAGGGCGGTCAAGACCCCCGATCCCCAGGAGAACGGGAAAAGCCGAGAGGCAGAAACAGGTCTTCCAAAACCAGAGTCTGCTGTTTATTTAAATTCAAGTGGAAGTTTACTAGGTGGGCTGAGGAGGAATCAGAGCCTTCCGGTCATGATGGGCGGCTTTGGAGCCCCAGTTTGCACAACCTCACCCAAAATGGGGATCCTGAAGGAAGACTGAGGCTCAGCACCGACTGACCTCACGTATAAATTATTAGCACATGAAGGACAGGGCTGCACTGAGGATGGGAACTGGCTAAGGAGAGCAAAGGAAAGTCGAAGAAGGGCTGTGGATGTGCGGAGGGTGTCGTGGGCGGGGGGGGGGGGGGGGGGGGGGGGGGGGGGGGGGGGGGGGGGGGGGGGGGGGGGGGAAAAGGGGGGGGGGGGGGGGGGGGGGGGGGGGGGGGGGGGGGGGGGGGGGGGGGGGGGGGGGGATGGAAGCGTTTGGGTGAGGCCTTTGAGGATGGAGTCATAAACAGGAGGTAGGGACATGAGTAAGTCGGAGACAGAAATGACAGAAATGGAAGGAAGGGTTAGCGTGCTTCTCCAGCTGAGTTTCCTTGCCTTGAAAATGAAAAATGAATAGAAAAACAAATCCAGCCCTATGGAACACAGCAGTAATACTGAACTGCCGGCCCCTCGGTCCCTAGAGATCACAAGCAGGAGGAGCCTGCCTGGAAGGAGAGCCAGGAACAGTGCAGCTGTCCCGGCCAGCGGCTGTCCCAGAGGGTTGGTGCAGCGTGTTGTCTGTTACTGGGACTGCAGGCGTTTTCCCCGCTGATACGCGGTCAAATTGTGTACCCGTCCAATGGTGTGCTCACAACATTAGCAAAATAAGAGTTCTGTCCCTTGCTTCAGAAGTGGAGACTTTCTAGTTTCAGAACACTCTCAGACACCGAGAGCCAAACACCACCCCGATTGCTTTGTATTTGCGATTACTAAAACTTCAGTTTTTTTAAACTTGTATTTTTGTACAACATAACAAAAAAATTAAAAAATAACCATGTGAGCGGGCTTGGGAGGGATTTAGGACGGGAAATGGGGGTAAATGGGGATCAAGAAAGTTCTTCAGGACGTTTCTTCTGGATAATATGGTGGCCAAGGAATGCAGACACAATGCATGTTTCTCAGATTTCCTTGGAGGCCGTAAAGCTTAGACCAGAAGTGCAATCACTAGTACTTAGATTATGTTGTATATTTATATCTGTAAATCTTTAAGAAAAGTTAGTCGTAACTAACTTCTTCCAAAGTGTGCTATGCATATGTTTAATGAAAGATGACATGTATTTGCACAAAAATTCTCAGGCACATTAAATTATAAACTGAAGTGAAACCCAGGCACTTGCTCGAGCGTGTTTGTCAGATTCCGTTGTTTTCCTCATGTTGGTTAAAACAGCTGCCTAGTTCCTGGCACCTGCAGAAGCCGAGAAGGACCTTGTTCATGGCTAAGACAGGCAAGGCCTGGAGACGAGTCCTGGGATTCAGCAGTGCGTTGCGGGCCTTGAGTTGGGAAGAAAGCTCTGCTTTCTGAGGTGGCCGGCCATGGCTTTGTCTTGAGGGGTCCTTCAGGAAAGAAGGTCACACGTGAGGATAAGAGGGAACTCTTTGTTCTGTCTGTGAAAGCAGGAAGTCTCTCCCTTGGTCCTCTTGGTGCTTAACTTGCAAATGCTCTGCTTGAGAGGAATTCTTCATTTCCAGGGAAAGTTGCTTCCTTCTCTGTCTCGAACCTCCTCCCCAAGAAGAGATAAAACCAAAATCCACATGATGGTAAAGGACACATGGGCTTTCTATATTTCTAGAATTTATAAAACTTTTCTAAATAAATTCCTCAGCCACCAAGGGTGGTCACCTTTTGCCTGGTCTGGCTGCTGTCAACAAATCCTCACGCACATGTCCACGAAGGACTCCAGGTTAACAGCGGCCTTGCACAGACGCATTCAAACAAGAATTCCTGGTGTTTCAGTTTCCTAAATAGACAAATGCATTTTTTTTAAAAAAAAAAAAATTACTTTTCTTGTCTCTAAATAACTGAGTGCCTCCGTCAGCAAAAGCTCCAGGCTTTGAAGAAAGGACACGTCCATCGCTTGGACCTTCACAGCTTCTGAAGAGGAGCAGGAGGAAGGAGGGAAGCATGGGCTTGACAGGGAAGTAGCGTGTTCAGTAACCGGGTTCATAGATGTCACATAAACCACTATAAGTTGGCTAGCCATTGTGAAGTTGTGTTGAGAGTTCTATACTTCTGTATAGTCAGTGCCTGAGTGACGGCTGGAGGCAGGATGGTGCCTTAGCACCGAGCGAGCGTGTCCGGTTAAAGAAATCCAAATGGGTTTTTGAAAATTAAATTGATTTTTTTTTTAATGTTCTAACGTTGATTTTGAAGTTTGCACCTAAAATTATTTTTGGTACTGAGAACTGGTTAGACCAGGCAGTCTCTAAAATGTAGTAGGACCTGGAGCCTTCCCGCAGGTTCTTCCTCCGTGGAACTGTTATGCTCGGATACCCTGCTCATGCTTTTGTTGTTTACGGTAGCGGCTGGTGTGTACTTTGATGCGCACATGGGGAAACCCAGCTTCCTCCTTCAGGATTTTCTGATTTTTTTCTCAGGTACTTCTGAGTGTCCTGTCACCAATTAGGAGAGTCTTCTTAAGCTCAGAATTAAAATTGCCCTGAATTTTGGAGATCCCAAATCTTATGTAAATAGCCTTAGGTTTAAATCCTTAGACATTAATGACCAGTGTCAGTTAAGTAGGTTTTGTTTTTCAGTCTTGTGATTGTCCTTGATCTGACACAAATGGTCAGAGTCTGTCGAGGAAAGATGTTGGAGGAGGCTCCCAGGAGCCTCGCCCATAGTGAAGGCACGCCTTACACAGTATTCAAGCTCCTAGTCATAATCAGTAGTGAGAGCTTCTCACACCAGGTTGACATGTGGAGCCAGGACTGCCCGTGTCTGGGCCACCTCTGCTATCAGGTGTGTAGAGACCTGTACTCAGAGTGCTGAGTGTGGCCGCAGGCATGGCGTGGGGCTCCGGGGGCTCCAGGAAAATAGCCTTGTGTCATATCTGGAACCTGACTTTGTCAAATAGCTCTTAATGCACCTGCCTTTGCTCTATCAATTGTAAATCAGATAATAAACACAAGTAGCTTCTTACACTCTCCTGTGTCTTCCTGTGATTTTTGTTTCAGTCCTATACAATCCAGCATGAAGTCTTTATAGAAAACATCCCATATTTGTTGAACTAATCCCCCCCCCAAAAAAAATCATTAATAGTCAAGTAGTAAGCTGCTCTTATTGTTTCTTTAAACTTTTAAAATTTTGTTAATGTGAGGATCGTCTTGGGGGTCAGAAACAGTCCGCAGGAGCCACTTCTCTCCTTCAGCCACATAGCTTCTGGGTATCAAATTCAGGCGTCAGGCTTGGCGTCAAGTGCGCTTTCCCACTGAACCACTTGCCGGCCCGCAGGTATTTCTAGATCTAGACTACACCACATCACGATAGCTCCGTCCCAGAGTGACACCAATCAAGGATAAAGTCATCACTAAGCAGACAGTAAGCGCAGGAAGGTTCAGAAATGACGATGCGGTTCTTTCCCTGTAGTTCGCCTCCAGACATTGTTTCTAAGTGTAGATGCTGTTGGAATTGATACAAAGGCTCATTCAATATCCTCCTTGTCTGTCTGCTGTGGTCCTGGGGATCGGAGCTAGGGCTCACACATAGGCAAGCGGTCTACCACTGAGCTGTATGTCCCCTGCTAACCAGGCAATAGTGGCTCACACTCAGGAGGCAGGCGGATCTCTGTGAGTTTGAGGCCACTCTGGTCTACAGAGAGAGTTCCAGGAGAGCCAAGCCTATGCAGAGAAACCCTGACTTGAAAAGTAAAAAGAAAACAGAAAACCACAAAAGATTAATTGTGCTTTTATTTCATTTCACTTCATATGTTACTGGTTGTTTCTGAATTCGCCTTTTAGCTCTATTGAGCCTTACACCGAGATGCTCCCTGTGCCTAGTATGGAGCCTGGCATTCAGGCAGAACACACGCAGGTTGTGAGCTTCCAGCTTCTGTAAACTATGGGATGTGGGACCATCACTGAACCAGGAGTCCGTGGATTAGAATCAGCCTTAATTTAGGTATTGTTTGTGAACCTTCATTAGGAAATGTGCATCTGTTAGTTGAGCCGTGGAAAAATCAAAACAAGCAAGCAACTTTTTAGCTTGGCTGTTCTCTCTTTTGTTTTATTTGGCAAGATCTACTTCGTTTAGGAGGGAGAAAGAAACCCAGGACAACATGCAGCCCATCCCTGTGGACTTCCACAGTCTCAAGGCTAAACTTCAAGGAAGGACACATCCACTGTAGAGTTCTCGGACTTTGAGAAAACGGGGAAAGTTAAAATCAATTACAAAAGCCTGGGGCCTGGCTGTCTGCCACTTAGACCCAGGTGCTGATAATCCCAGTGCTCTGGAAAAGTATCTTAAGCCTCTTCCTGGCTGATGATGAGATAAAAATCTTGCATAAATTCCCTGCTGCTGGGAACGGCCCCTGATTTGCATCTAGGAAGCTTGAACTGGCTGCTTCTCCAACCTTCTGTTAAGAGCAGAGTGCTTTGGGCCAATGAGATGCCACCACTCTGTTTCCATAGTGATAAAAGAAACAAACCTCCCGCCATCTCCCTCACAAGTCAGGCTCTGTCAAAGGACACTGGGTAGAGGGTGGCTTTCTCTCCAAGTGTGACTTTCACTGAAATACCTGGGGACAACTGAGCTGTCTTCTAAGGGACGCTCCTGGCATGCCTGCTCAGCCCTTCTGAAAGCCATTGTCTGGGTCTGCAGATCTTCACCGTCCCCTGGCTTTGGGCCTTGGCATCTCAACAGCTTGGGGATAAGCGCTGAAGCCAGAGTTCTGAAACATCTTGATTTGCTGTAAAATGAACCTTGATTTTGTTCTGATGAGGTCTCGTTTCCCTAAAAGATTACGGTTTCTTTAAGGCTCTCAGCGTGGAAAGGAACCACAGGGGAATGAATCTTTGAAAGAATTAAGGTAAGATCATAGGAAGATTTTCCAGTGGACTGTTTATGACTCAGACCCTGTCTGAAACTCTGTGGCTTCACTCCTGGCCACAGTTGAGGGAAACACTGGGGAGAAAACACCGGAAAGGAAAAGAAGGGGAAACACACATATACCACACACACACACATATATCACACACACACGTACACACACACCACATACCACACACACATATACCACACACACATACACCACACCACACACACACCACATACCACACACATACAGATATAACACACACACACCACATAACACACATACACATATCACACACACACACCACATACCACACATACACACCACACACACCTCACACTCTCTCTCACACACCACGTAACACACACATACACATATAACACACACACCACATAACACACATACACATATGACACACACACCAGTAAACATGTGCCCAAAGGCTCTCCATGTGCTCCGTTCCACCCTGCTTGCCCCGTTCCTCCCACACCTCAGCCCTACCTCATGACTTGTCCACATCTGTTCTGAGGGCTCAGTAATTTTGTATTACTGGTTTTAAACGCTTTGAATATGGTCCCAGAGGATGCCAAGGGAACTTTTTTAAAGCACAAATTGATAAGCATCGAGGCGTTTTTGTACTGAGGAAGAAGGAAACAGACATTTATCAATACGAAACTGGTTAAAATAGAAATAAACGCAGCCATAGAAATTCCCAGTAGTGGGCCAAGAGAAACGGCTCAGTGGTCAAGGGTGCTCGCTGCTTTTCCAGAAAACCCTAATTTGGTTCCGAGCAACCACATTTGGTGGCTCCCAATAGCCTGCCACTCCAGTTCCAGATTTCTAAGCTTCTCTTCTGGCTTCCATGGGTTCCTGAACACTCGTGACATATACCCACACAGACAAAAACACATACACAAAATCAAAATAAATCTTCTTTTTTTCAGTTTTCGAATTGCAATGATATAGAAACTGATCTTGACTTACTTGAAAGATTGTTTTAAGTTTGCTTTAAAAATAATATGATGTTGGCTGGGCGATAGTGGTGCACGCCTTTAATCCTAGCACTCAGGAGGCAGAGGCAGGTGGATCTCTGTGAGTTCAAGGCCAGCCTGGTCTACGGAGCGAGTTCCAGGACAGCCAGGGCTGGGCTGTTACACAGAGAAACCCTGTCTATAATAATAATAATAATAATAATAATAATAATAATAATAATAATAATATGTTGGAGGAGTGAAATGGAGTGGAGGTGGGGTGTAGATGTATAAGATTAGTCACACTGACAACTATTAAAACTATGGGATGGTGAGTTTCTTATTCTTTTTCTACATTTGGCTTTTTTAAATTTCTTGATTGCAAAAAGCTTACATTTAAAAATGATGGCATATTACATTTCTGCATAATAGAAACTCATGGCATTATCTTATAAAAATATATCTGGGCTATAAATATAGTTTGCTTCTGTTTGTAGAAAGTTTTGTAAATCTATTCGTTTAGAACACAGAAAGTTCTGGCATCCCTTCAAATATTTTCAGTGGTTATCTTTGGGTGTTACATTTTTGATATTTTTTTACTTCCTTGGTGTCTTCTGTTGTGGCTGTGTCTAAAATGAGCTAATTTCATCGTAATACACAACACAAACCTATATTTCTGTTTTTTTTTAAGATTTATTTATTTATTATGGATACAATATTCTGTCTGTGTGTATGCCTGCATGCCAGAAGAGGGCACCAGATCTCATTACAGATGGTTGTGAGCCACCATGTGGTTGCTGGGAATTGATCTCAGGACCTTTGGAAGAGCAGTCAGTGCTCTTAACCTCTGAGCCATCTCTCCAGCCCCCTATATTCCTGTTTTTAAAAAGAAAAAAGTATAAAGGAGAGTCTCTATGTGTATGCCACTGCAGTTCACAGCAGTCATCTCTGTGTGCAGGACCAAGAGCCTCGCCTAGGTCTCATTAAGTGCAACCCAGCACGAACCGGCATGGGCAGGATTTTTAAAGACAAGGCAACAGGCTCAACAAAGCAGGTTTCCTGCAGGCCTGTATCTAAGGTGTAGTCATGCCTACCCGATCTTAAAACCACAGGTCTGGGGGGTGGGTACCGAGACGGATCTGGTGTGGAAAGTCAGCTCCCTTCCTATCAATGCCATCAGGAAGCAAACCTCTGCAAGTCTGGAGTAACCTGACCTGACACCTGCCTTCTGAGCAGCAGCCCTGATAGGAGCTTGTTCTCCGTTCCCTTCTGCAGTTCAGGTAGGCGACCCGAACTGAGAGGCAGGGCGACTCATTCATGCCATCGCTGGAGACGTAGAGCCCATTTCCCAGGATGTTCTGCGCAAGGTCTGCTGTGGGGAGTCTCTGTCACGCAGACTGAGCGGGTATGAGCTTGAGGAGAAACAGGTCATAGGGACGGAGGGAATACGGGCTTCCAACCCTGCAATGTGCTCAGTGGCATCTCTGTGTACCTAGAAGCCTGGGTAGCAAGAGCTGAACAAGCACGCTATCCTCGAATGAAGGTGGTAACTCCACTGTGGACGAGGTTTAATTACTTAATTGCTTTCAGGTCAAGGGGCCAACTGGGCATCGTCCTGCAGTGGAAGCCTACATTAGCTCATCCTCTACCGTGGTTCTTCCGGCTGCCCCTTGAGCCTTCCTAGTCTCTGCTTGCTTTGATTCTGCAGGGTTTAACTCTCTGTGGTTCTTTTCTCATCCCAGTAAGAGTCCCTGACCTCGCAACCAAGACTGCATCTGACCCTGGCCATAATGTATCCCAATCCTCTCATCTACTGCACCTGCTGGGACCCATGGAACTTGGGACCACGGAAGCTAATCAAGACCCCTCATCCACTTCCAAAGACCCTCACAGGAAAGCCTAGGTAGGCATAAGCCGGGTTGGGCTAGGTACAGGAAGTGGTGGTTTCCTTTGTAGTCGTCCCTTTGTCTTATAAGGTTCCCCAGTGGATATCTTGCCACAAATTCCCCACAGAACAGGAAGCCCGGTTTTCCGCCTTCCTGGCCAGCCTGGATGCTGTCCTGATCTTGCAGGCCTGTCTGAATCAATATTTCAGTAAAGAAGACTTTGCAATTTTGCAGTACTCTATGTGTGTGTGCATGTGTGTGTGCATGTGTGCGTGCGTGCATGTGTGTGTGTGTGTGTGTGTGTGTGTGTGTGTGTGTGTAAAACACCCAATAAGAGCGCGCTTTAGTGGCAGCTGTCCCGAGTGGCTTTGGGGCTTGCCCTGGTAACCAGGAGTTCTTGGAGATAGTAGGCAAGGACAAGTAGGAGAACTCCTTGGACCCAAGGTCTTCAAGGCCTCGAATCTTCCTGATCCCAGTTATCACTTTGTGGAGCCACCTTGGATACGCCCTCATTGGGGAGTGCTGAGGCATGTTTTCTAATTCCCAGTGTTTATGTCTTGCTTTCAGAAAAACTCATCCTACACCAGTTTCAAGGGAACGCAACTACCTTCTGTCCCAACCAACCAAACCTGTTGTTTCCCCAAAGTAAGTACATGTAGCTCCTGAGGCAATGGATAAAATAATCAACAGCCACACAAGGAATTGACTCATCCTGAGAGAGCTCCAGGGCGTAGCTCTGGTCACATCCATTTTGGATATTTCTATCACTGAGGACCTGTACCAACAGATTTCCCAACTACCCACGGGGGTCTCTCTCTCTCTCTCTCTCTCTCTCTCTCTCTCTCTCTCTCACACACACACACACACACACCCACACTCACACACACGGGACCTTCATGCTGACTTGAACTAACTTGCTACCAGGGATGCCAACAATTTGCCAGAACCCACTGATTTTTCCTCAGACCAAATCCATGGTGATTTTAGCTCAGAGAAGGTGAGGAAGCAGTGTCTGGCAGAAAGAGCATAGCCTACCGAGAGTTGCCTGGTCCCTGGAGAGTGGGAAGATGAAGCAGCCGGGTGGAGGATGGAGGTCGTCAGGTAGCTGACAGAGATGAAGAAGAAGTTCCTTCACCTGTATTCTCCAAGAGAAGCCAGTGCAATTATGAGGAAGAGAGTCAGTGAGAGAGATGTGACCACTGTGAAGATGACCCCTGGGGACACGAGAAGCATCTAGAAACTGGCAAAGACCAGGAGTCAGTTCCCCCTGGGAGCTCTAGAGTAAAGCCCCACCCACATCCTTTTTGGACTGCCCGTGCATGAGGCCCTGCCCCGCTGTGTTCCCCAGCTACCCAGGGTTCCCCTTAAAAGGTCAAGTGACTGGCGTTGGAGACCGCAGGTCAGAGGTGGCAGCCGCAGGGCTCGTCCCCTGAACTTGGCCTTTCGTCTGCTCCATTGAGTCTCCAAGCATGTCCTTCTCTTGCAGAGACAAAGCCCAGGCAGAAAAGCTGGAGGAAGGCGGCAAACTTCCTTCTGTGAGTAGAAATGGGGTAAGAGCCAGAAGAGCATTTATCTTGCCTCTCCTGTGTGCAAGCACAGGGTTTTTACACACTCACTATGCCAAATCTTAACAGAGAACCTATAGCATTAACGGTGCACGTTTTATGTAGCTGGTAAGAGGCCAAACTGGAACTCTCCCCAACTTTGTGTGGGTCCCTGGGGGAGAACAGACAGTGGCTGTTCATGCTATGACTCATGCCCCAATACAGGAAGTCCTCTGCCATACCGGGAAGCCACAAATCCTGAGGCCAGGGCCACTACATTGCTGCACCCACGCCAATCATTTCCTGGTGTGCTACTTGGTTGGTTCTCGCCCTGAAAAACGCCCTTTGTGGAAGTTATCATCACTATTTTTCTGGAGAGGAAACTGAGTCACAGAGATGTGAAGTAACTCCAGGGCCAAATATTTAAAAAATCAGCCTATCCAATTCCAAACATTGAGCAGTTCCCACAATGCCCGGCTACTGGCCACAGTGGAGGATGGGGAGGAGGCATGGAGCAGTGTGGAGGGATCAGTCGGCACTGCTGAGCTTAAGGGGTCCCGGTGTGGGGGTGAGTGTTGGATCTGCGAGATTTGAGGGTGGCGGCCGGGGAAGGGCACAGAAGGGTCTTGGGCCCCGGCATCTCAGCACAGTGTCTCTGTGTATAAGAGATGAGGAAGCCCAGAGGAGGTGGAGGAACCTCAGCTCCTCAAGGCTCACAGTTTCTCTCCGCCTTCCACCTCGAGACCCAGGAGGTGATTGACGTGTCACCTGGCTATAAACTCATTCGAAATCGGGAACAGATTTCGGTCACCTTGGGAGATGAGATGTTCAGTAGGAAGAAGCACTTGGGATCGGACATCTTGAACAAAGTCAAGTTTTCCAGGTAAAGTCTTTGGATCAACACCAGTGTCTGAGAGCTGGCTCTGCCCAGTCAGTCAGCCCAGCCTGATATCCACGTCCAGGTCCCAGGTCCCTGCTCAGAAACAGCCCCGCTAGCATAACTTACCTTAAAGAGGAAGGTGCTCCTGCCAGGGCAGGGACAGGTGAAATATTCACAAATAGTCTGGATCCTGAGTAGGGGGATTAAGGGCAAAAGCAGTTTCTCCATGACCCTGGGAGAACCCTTGAGAGGTTCAGACCCGGTCCATCCCGCAGAGGGCCAGCCATTGCCTTCCCTGAAGCCCCGCCTCTTTTGCTCCCCCGGGGTCTCCTCCTTCCAGCTTTAGTCTGCCATAGGAACTATTGCTCTGAAGACGGCGGGGGGCAGGCACCCTGAACACGAGTTCTGTGGAAGGAGGAGGGTTGTGGGGGCAGGGCCAGATAGATCTCTGTTGCAAAACACAGCCCGAGGTGGACCACGCGGCAAATGAGAGCCCGTGGAGGGTATGGGAGGATGGCGCCACGCAAGCAGAGCTTACGTGGGAGTTTTGTTACGATAAAAGGAGTGAGGGGAGGGAAGGGAGGAAGAGGAAGAAGAGGCCTCTTCAGAAGAGCAATGGGAAAGAGAGCAGAAACAGGCGGAGTTTGTCCCTTTTGCACCTTACAGAATACATAATGACTTAGCAGTCATAGGAGGGGCCACATAACCGGGGCCAGCGGAACACCTGAATCCTAACAATTTCTGTTAGTTGGAGACCAGCCTAATGTACATAGCAACTTCCAGGACAGCTAGGACTGTGATTCAGAGAACCTCTGTCTCAGCAAAAAAGAAAAAAAATTGAAATACTATATTGCTGTCTAACCCAGACTGGACACGAACTCACTATCCTCCTGTCCTTGAGTGCTGGCATTGCAGACATGGCCTCACACACACAGTCATATAACCCTCCTCTTAGTCCCATCCATGACCACTCCTTGTCTCCCTCCAGTTGACTGTCGACATGCATCTTCCCACGGCTTCCCGTTTCCTAATCCTCTGCCCTTCTCCCCGTTGCCTTCAGTTAGCAACAACCAAACTCCAAGTGCCCCGCACTCTTATTTCTCCCCTGCTCAGCAGGACACCACGCTGCCCTCATCACTGCCCGCTAGCTCACCCGAAGGGCCAGGCACGAGGTCCAGCCACTCGGCGATGAGATGTCTTATTCGGAACCACCCCGAATAAGACATCCCATGCCATAGCGGCGAGCAGGCGACCTGGGGCTGCTGGAGTGAATAACACGCTCTGGTGGTGACGGAGGTGTTTGCCCCACAGGACCGACATCATCTCTGACCTTGAGGAGCAGATCTCCGAGTTGACGGCAATAATAGAGCAAATGAACAGAGACCACCAGTCTGCCCAGAAACTGGTAAGTGACCTTGGCACTTACCACACCCTCGGGACTGATACTTTCAGAACATCTGTGTGCCAGGCAAGATGCCAGGCACTCTGCTGTAGTGAGCCGTGCTATCCGGGCACAGGACTCTACAAAGAGGACGGTGCACTGAGCAATATTTCTCTGCCTGCATCCTCCAGCTGCCTCTGGCTATGGTAACACCGTCTTCTCCACCCTGGGGTCACTAATTACTCCCCTCTCCTGCCTTTGTCGTGAGATACAAGCTACAGGGGTTGCCAGGCTACTGATAATGACCCCAGCATGGAGGATGCCTTCAGTGTCCTGCAAAAGCTTCTAGGAAGCCCCCAGTGTCCACTCTCTAGTACTTACTATTAAGTTCTCGGGGCCCTTTCTTCATAAGCAGCACAATCCCAGTTCCCCCCTTCCTCTTTTCCTTACTCCCCCTCTCTTGCCTGCACCCCACCCCTATCTGCTCCTCAGAGATGGTAAGGCCTCCCCTGGGAAGTCAATTAAGTCTGTCCCACCAGCTCCTTGAGATAATCTATTGTCTGTGTTTTTGTGAATGTTTCTGACTTCCTTTTGGTTGGAGTTTTCCTTGTAGTACTTTCTATAGGGCTGGATTTGTGGACTGGTATTGTTTTAAGCTGGTTTTGTCATGGAATATCTTGTGTTCTCCATCTATGGTGATTGAAAGTTTTTCTGGGTATAGTAGTCTGGGCTGGCATCTGTGGTCTCTTAATGTCCGCATAACGTCTCTCCAGGGCTTTCTGGCTTTCATTGTCTCCAATGAGAAGTCAGATGTAGTTCTGATAAGTCCGCCTTTATATGTTACTCAGCCTTTTTCCTTTGCCGCTCTTAACATTATTTCTTTATTCTGTATGTTTAGTGTTTTGATTATTATATGTGGCCGTGGTTCTGGTGATCACTCTTCTAAGTGTAGGTGGAGCTGAGATTCCATTGGTCACTGTGGCAGCAGAGTATCTTGTATCAAGAGCGGCAGAGGATGCCGACTGGGGCACAGGTGCTCTTTCCCAGAGGAACTCCTCATGATTCTCATGATAGTCCGGAAGCCACTGGGGTACACCGCTGCTGCTGTGGCTCTTAGAGATCACTTGCCGCTCTCAGCAGCTGGTCACCTCTGATGCTCCTGGGCGGGTCGCTGGGTCCTCTGACACTTAGATGCATTTTTAAAGCAGGTGACCTTTTTAACATTTTGGTCATCGGCTCTGATTTGATCCCTTCTTCCCCAGCTCAGGCAGGTGTATCTGGTGACCCTGGCTAGCCTGAGAACCCAGAGTCACACTCAGAAACAAGCACCCTGGTGTTGCTGCAAAACTCTCCCTCCCCATAGCAGCCTCTCAGACTGGTTTGTCCCATCTGTCTGAATCTTACAGTGAGCTGCCTCTTGCCTCTTGACCAGACCTTTCGTGCCTCCGATTTGTTATCTTGTTACCCTGCCGTAACAAGATAACTTGTTACTTAAAAGGGAAACTGAGGTTTGAGAAACTCGCATCCTCTGTGTAAGATGGCGGGACTTCGGATAAATTCACGTTTGGCTCTCCAGCCCAGGCCCCAAGGAAGGCGGCTTTAGAGACTGTCCGAATTGGGGGTGGGGGGCTTCTTGAAAGCGTTCCTATTTGTGAGATGGTGGTTAGGGATAAGACATTTCTGAAAGAGTCACTAACACCACAGACAGGCAGATAACAGCAGGCAGAGACTCTGAGAAGGCCACACCCTATGGCCTCATCAGGCTGGGACTCTGAAGAAGGACCCAGCCCACAGTGTGGGGGCGATTGTTCTTCTTCTAGGATCCTGCAGCCAAGATGGTTTAACTTCCCAGTGGAGGCAGGGAAAACAGTGAAGGGGGAGTGTATGGCCACAGGTAGGCCTTTGATGTGTCTGCAGTCTGACGGCTGGTTCTTTTCGACTTTGTTGCTAAATAAGCTGTTTCTAAGTGTGAACGAATCCAAAGACCACGCCACACAATGAAATGACCGAAGGAACAAGGTGGTGCCTAGGCACAGCCGTGACGATCAGGCAGGGGACCCTCCCTGAGTGTGCACCCTCAGCACCGCAGAGCCCACCCAGGAGAGACGGAGGCAGGCGTCCCCTCCGAACGGAGGGGGCTTCATGTAGATCAGAGCCAGCCGAGTCCGGCATGTAAACGTTAACACTGGCCCCATTTCCAGCTCTCCAACGAGATGGATCTCCGCTGCGCCGAGATGAAACAGAAGTTCGAAAACGAGAACAGGTAGGCTTCCTGGCAAAGGCGCATGGACAATGCCTGGACAGGATCCCCGTTCCCTGAGGGCTACCAGTGGTGCCAAGCGCAGCTGGTTGCGGTGTGTGAACGAAGCGCATGACCTCAGAGAGCAGGGCGGCTTCGTTTGAGGCCGCTAAGATGAAGCCGTTTGTGCTTCGTGTTCCTGCTTTCCCATCATGCATCCTTTTTGTTTCCACTGTAATATTTCTTTTGATCGGTTGCTGAGAAAAACCAGTTTTTTTGTTCTCTACAAAGTTTTGTCGTGCACGATCTGTTGTGATCCTATTCCCCCTTCTCTCCCCTCCTCCTCTCTTTTTTTCCTCCTCCTCCTCCTTCCTTCTGCTTCCCCTGATCTTGGCCCAACAAAGAAAGAGATGGGGGGGAAGGAATGGAGCAAGTCCGGGGGAGGGAGAAGGGAGTGTGTTGACTGTGAGGGAGAAGCATCTTGAAGCCCATGCAGGCTTCCGGAGGAGATTCACGTTTGTCACAATCGATGAATCTGCATTGGTACATCGTTATCACCTGCTTATTGGTACATGGTTATCACCTGCTCAGGGGTCAGCCCTGGTGCAGAACACGTGCGGTGTGTTTGGAGAAGAAGCATGTGCAGACAGGTCTTCACTGTGAGAGTATTGGACAAAGGGGCTTTAGGATTTATCTCAGCATGCCCCGCCTACTGATCCCTCCCCATCCCTTCCCAGGCAATGCCGAGAAACCACTGATTGGTCTGTCATCACCACAGATTTTTTTCTTGCCTGACATTGGGATAGTACAGCCTGCGATCTTTGCAGATTAGCCTTTCTCCTTTAGTGATATACGTTTGTGTCTTTCATCTGATTTATGGCCTGGATGCTCTCACTCTGATACTCAGAACTTATGAATCCTGGCTGGACCTGGGGTTCTAAACTTATCCTGGGTGCTTCTGTAAGTGAACTGTAAGCAGCAAGTGTTGGCTGTTGAGGTCTCACAAATAACCGTGATTGTAAGAAATGTCTCACTCTGGATAGAAGCCAGGAGAATGCTCCAGGAAGTGAGGGCACCACCTCAATGAGTGTGTGTGTGTGTGTGTGTGTGTGTGTGTGTGTGTGTGGTGTCAGTGCAACAGATCAACTCTGAACCTCTGTGTGTGCATGTGCGTGTGTGCATGTGCGTGTGTGTGTGTGTGTGTGTGTGTGCGCGCGTGTACACGCTTGGTCACAGTGTGCTTGTGGATTGCAGAAGACTGTTTTTGGAAGTCAGCTCTTCCCTTCCTTCTACCACGGCTTCCAGGGATCGAGTTAGTTTGGCTTCCATGGCAAGCCCCTTACCTACTGAGCCGGCTTGCCGACTCTGGATTTCTGTTCACTGATTTGTCCCACAGGGATCTCAAAAAGGCTCACAAACTGGAGCTCGAGAAGTTAGAGAACAGCTACAAAGATGCCCTGAAGGTGGAAAAGGCTTCTGCCCAGGAAAAGCTAGGTACTGTCAGACCCTGGGAGGTTAGCACAGCCCAGAGTTTAAGATTTCCTTTCCAAAGCCCAGGGGGATGAGGTGTCTTGAGAATGACACGGGAAAGGGAGGGCATGCCCTTGCTTTGCTCTGAGGATCTGTTTTTATCTGCAGAATGAGAACGTGAAATATTTTGAGTGCGTTTTAAAGTTTTAAAATTATATTATTGTTATAATGTCTTCAGGTTTGCTCACAGGTAAAATGATAGTGTTTTGTTACCTCCTGATTGATACACTGTGATGGCAAGGCTCTGTAGTACAAAGAGCTGTACTGAGCAGATCACACTGCCTACAGCACTTTTGGAGAGAGCAGTGTCTGCACCCTTCAGGTTCTGGGTCTAGCGCCCACAGAGGGAAGGAGAAATCCTACGCTATAGAGTCTATACTACAGTCCTTTCTTTTACGTTAGTGTCTTATTTATACTTCGCTTGCTTGCTAATTTCCTCAAGAGAGCACGTGGTTTTCAGAACCGTCATAAAGAGAGAGGCTAAAAAGAGAAGCGGATGCAAGCTGGGAGGTGGTATCCTTCCTCCCGCAGACAAGGATTTACTCCTGGGAGCTCTTACGAAAAGGGCGTGTTAGTTTCAACAGCTCTGAGAAGCTTGTTAGTCAGAAAGTACCCAGAGGCTCTCCATCAGTCAGCTCAGGCAGGGTCCAACATCCGGGCTTTTAGTAAGCTTCCAGAAGCAGCTGGGAATCAGTAAAGATTTTATCAGCTGGGAGGAGCGGGGGTGTGGTGCTGAGGCATTCACGCGAGGTTTGGAAAGGGCACCTTTCAGAAAGTGATGCCCTTGTTTTCTTTCTTTTCTTCCAGAGGACATGGGCAAAGAGTATAAGTACCTGAAGAATATGTTCCACATGTATCAGGTGAGATTCAGAGCTGTGTGGTAGATTCGGAGAGAAGGCTCATTCCTGGCTGACCACGTGGGAAGAGTGTAGATCGGTAGAGATTCTTAGATCCTTCCTCTGGTGCCACCGCGGTACCTAGTGGCCACCACCACAGCGTTGCTATGAACCCAGCAGGAAGCATGAGCCGCTTGACAAACCAGCCATGCAAATCTCAAGAGGCCCGGAAACGTGAGCCTATTTCCAGTCGACCGAAGTTCCAACCAGAGAGTGGGAACTGACTTCTAGTTCCTTCAAGGTTATTGTGCTTCTGCTTCAAACAAAGGTCCCACCTGGACTTAGACCACACAGTTCTGCTCTCAAGGTTATTGTCAACAGGTGTGGCTAATAACCAGACCTTGCACTTCAGGAATAGAGAAGCAGATCTGTTCCTACCTCAAACAAAAGTCTAAGACTCCAATTAAAGCTTCAGTTCCCTTAAAGAGATAACACTGGATTCCACCCACGAAGTGGTTTGCCTACAGAATGTTTTGGTCTAGGGTATGAGTGTGACTTGTTTTGTTCTAGCAACAGAACAGAACAGAACAGAACAGAACAGAACAGAACAGAACAGAACAGAACAGAACAGGCTTAACTGTGGCTATAGCCCTCAACCTTCAATTGGTCTGTTCTTTCAATTGGTCTTGTATCATGTTAATGTATTTTTTTTTTTTTGTCTTACTCCTACCTTTTGGGGTCAGGGGTATTTTAAGCAGTTGGAAATTAAACAGGAGCAAATTTGAGTACTCACTGGCACTCCCTCCTGATACCACTCCATCTTTCTCCATTTTATTATTTTCATTCGTGTCTTCATATTCTTTGCCATATTTCTAATTCCCAATGCTTCTACCCTGGCGAGAGGTACTTTTGTCGAGACTGGTCCCTGACACAAATCTACTGGGGAAAAAAAATGTTTGTGGTCATCACAGTAATAGCTGTTGACTGTTTTCCAAAAGGAAGTGGGGGGTTAAGGGCTGGAGAGATGGCTCCGCAGCTGAGTTCTTGCTGCTTCCAGAGGACCCAAATTCAGTTCCCAGCACCCATGTGGTGGCTCAAAACCATGTGCAAGTATAGTTCCAGGGATCCAACACCCTCTTCTGCTTCCTCAGGCACCAGTAATGCACATGAGTGCACAGACATACATGCAGGCAGAACACATAAAACAAGTAAATTTGATTTCCCCCCAGTGGAAATAACCAACAACAGCAACACCAAAAAGAAAGAATCACCACTCCCCAGAGGTGACCCCTGCAAACACCTGTGCTTAGTCTCAACTTTCACTGAGACCGTGGTATAGCGAATCTAGGTCCGTTTTCGTATCTTCTTCTCATTGGGCATATTGGTGCCTGTGCCTTCTTTTTCGTGACTGCTATCCTAGTGGACGGGCCTTGGGGATCTCACTGCCCCCTTCTAGGTGACCGTGTGCTGTTTCCACCACTCAGTGTAACAGGAAATAGCACTTTGAACATCTTTGGTCCTAGCTGTGGAGTGCTGGTCAAAGGAAGGAACATAGTTCTGGCTTTTCACAGAGTTGTTGACTTGACACAAATTGGAGTCATCTGGGAGGAGGGAACCTCATTGGAGAAATTGCCTCCATTGCCTGTGGGAAAGTCTGTAGAGCATTTTCCAGATTAATAATTCGTGTGGGAGAGCTCCGCCCACTGTGGGTGGGGCCACCGCTGGGCAGGTTAGAAGGCTGGGAAAGCCAAGGGAGCAAGCCAAGAAGCAGCACTCCTCCAGGGCCTCTGTGTCAGCCCTTGCCCTGGCATCTCCCAGAGATGGACTGTAACTTGGGCGTAGAAGCCAAACAAACCCTTTCCTACCCAAACTGCTTTTGATTAGACTGTTATTGCAGCAATAGAAAACAAAACAGGACGTTTCCCCAAGTCTGATGAAGTTCCAGCTCTCTCTTGGGGAATGCGGAACTGGACTGATTTCTGATACAGGGAGCCTTACCTGTCTCCAAAGGAAGTCGGGGTCCAGCTTGGCGAACGCTGCTGGTAGACGGCCCTTGACCACTGGGCTTATCTCACACGTTATAGCTCTATCCATTGCACCTCTACAGGACAGCATTTATGATGAGATGGAAGACAAGTGGACAAAGCGGAAGGCAGAATGGGAGAAGGATGAGAAGCTGGAGAGGGAGAAGATCCTGCTGCAACAGAGTGAGTACCGGCTTTTCCCGGGACGAGAGTATCAAAACAGTGCAAGCCTTTAATCCCAGCGCTCGAGAGGCAGAGGCAGGCGGGTCTTTGTGAGTTAGAGATCAGCCTGGTCTACAGAGAGAGTTCCAGGACAGCTAGGGCTCTTAGAACACTGAAGAATTGAGACAATCCCACGTGGCTACCGTCACAACACACAGGAGGAGTTGACCTCCCCAGCTGAGGGTCAGAGCGTGCAACCCGAGCGAAAGGCCCTCATTGCTTCTTGATTCAGTCATTCTGGGGCTTTCTCTCTGGCCCATTTCCTCCACATTTACACTCAAACCTGCTTTGCTCTCTCCTCCGCAGAACACAGGATAACAAAAAAGTTTGAGCTAGAGTCGGAAGAAGAAAAGAAGAAAATGAATGAATCCTTCAGTGCCGTTTTCGAGAACTTCACCCGAGAGAAAGAGGTAACAGGATGCTCCCATGTTGAGTGTGGTCCAGGTGGTGCAAGCAGTTGAGCCTTCTGTGCCCACATACTTAGGTGACGTTTTGTCCCCAGTAGACATGCTCCTCCTTGTTCACCTTTTCTGGAAATGTATGCAAAAAGAATGACTGTTCTGGCTTGCTTTTGGAAGGAAAGGGATTGATTTCATCCCACAGGGTTGCAGTCCCTCATCAGCTTGTAATGTAGGAAATCAAGGCAGGAACCTGAAGCAGGGACCACAGAGGAACACTGAGTACTGACTTACTCTTTCACGTTCAGCTGCCTTTCTCACACAGCCGAAACCCACCTGCCTAGAGAGGTGACCGCCCACCGTAGGCTGGGCCGTTTGACATCAATTGGCAGTCAAGGAAATGCCCATACGCATGCCCTCCAGCTGATCCGATGGAGGCAATCCTCAAATTGAAATGTCGGAGCAACCAACTTTGGCTAAGGCCTAGAGTAGCTGACAGACCATTTTCAGAGGCAGGAACATTTTCAGAACCATCTTACCCTCTCTTGCAAGGCAAGGCTTGGCAGTTTTTTTTCTTGTATCCTGCTTGTCCGGTCCGGACAATATATACTAAATAAGATAGTCAACATATTACTTCAAAATGCCACATCTCCTTGATAATGCCATAAGTTCAGTGAGTGTTGTATTCTTGAATCCTTAAGTGACTTCTTAATTCTCTAAAAGAATACCCAGAACCACAGTACTGACTTTTTCAAAAACTTGTTTTTAGGAGCTCATCAAACAGCATGATGAAGATTTGTTGCAAATGCAGGAGCTGAGAAAATCCAAGGAGGTAAGCGTCTCCGTGAGACTGGTAAAATGATATACTCTCGGGAAAAGTAAATGCCATTTTACCCAAACCAGTCAAATGAATGGAGTACCGAAATCCACATGTTGGACTTACTAAGTCATAATGAATCTTGAGCTGTGTGTAAAGCAGATGCAGCCCTTCTCAGAGCCAGCTGTGAGCAAATACATCAGCAACAGACTGCTGACCTATATAATATTTAATACCTATATAACTTAAAGATTAAGACTTCATATCAGAATATTAAACAATCTTTAAACAGCTGTGCAGTAAAGGAGGACAATGACCTCAACATGTAAGCAATGTATAAATATGTTAATCAGAGGTAGAAATATATAATGCAATATGATAAATATATCCTAAAAAATTGTATTAATATACAAAATGTCTTAAACAGAGGTAGAAACATGCATGCATACAATGTGACAAAATAGCTTTGCATAGGTGTACAACTATTGTAAACAGAAATAACAAATATATATGTATATATATTAGATGACACACATATGTAACAATGTTATCAATGTTGAATAACTTAAAACATAGAACTTTGAGTCACAGAACACCGTGTTCTTCCCTCTGAGCTCTGAACCTTCCAAATGTCTCCAGCAGAACCTTGTTGCTAAGTCCCTCCTTTGGGTGTACCTTAGACTCAGTGGTTTCTGCAGGGTTCTCTTCTGCTGGGACACACAAGGCCATTTGTGAAGGCAAATGAAAAAAAAAAATCTGTTAAATAAAAGTAATTTGTGTTTTCCTTTTCTAGAAAATGTAATTTGTGTCCAGACATGCCACTGAACAGGCATCATGAAGAAATCTTATCTTCAAGCCCAGGCAGGGCCAGCAATGTAAAAGCCAAACAAACTACAGCATTCAAACAAGTACAGAGAGTGGCCTCAGAGCCAGGGAGTCCTAATGTAATCTCAGAACAGCTCTTGTGAGTGTCTCCACTAGTTCTATCTGAGGCTATAATCCCTGAGTCTGTTTCCATTCTGATTTATTTGTCTGCAAGTCTACTGAGCTTTTAGTAGGTGCTGGTCATTGAGTTGCTTACTGCTGTGAAGAGACACCATGACCACAGGAACTCTTAAAAAGAAAAACATTTAATTGGGACTGGCTTACAGTTCAGAGGTTCAGTCCATTATCATCATGGTGGGATGTGGCTGCATGCAGGCAGACACGGTGCTGGAGAAGTAGCTGAGAGTTCTACATCTTGCAGGCAGCAGGGAGTGATCTGCCTCCCTTGGCATGACTTGAGCATTTGTGAGTCCTCAAAGCCCGCCCCCTCAATGACACACTTCCTCCAGAAAGACCACACCTCCTAACAGTGCCACTCCCTTTCGAGGTCAGCCTGGTCTACAGAGCTAGTTCCAGGACAGGCTCCAAAGCTACAGAGAAACCCTGTCTCGAAAAACCAAAAAAAGAAAAAAAAAAAACTTTCGCCTTGTGGTTGTGGCTCATGCCTTTAATTCCAATGTTTGCTCAGGAGGCAGAGGCAGGCGGATCTCTGAGTTTGAGGCCAACTTAGTCTACCGATCCACAACAGCCAGGGTTACACAGAGAAACCTTGTTTTGAAAAACCAAAATAGATAGTTAGGGAGATAGATAGATAGATAGATAGGTAAGATAGATGATAGATAGATAGGTAAGATAGATGATAGATAGATAGATAGATAGATAGATAGATAGATAGATAGATAAGATAGATGATAGATAGATAGGTAAGATAGATGATAGATAGATAGATAGATAGATAGATAGATAGATAGATAGATAGATAGATAGATGGAGAGAGACAGAAGAAAATAAAAGGACCATGCCGCGAATGCATGCTGGTGACCCGTGACTACCGGCCCTGGCACGCTGATGACAGAACACAGGTGGGAAAGAGAAGGAGAAGGAAGGGCAACCATGGCAGCAAGGCGACTGGTCGGCTGTAAGTAAGACAAGGGAAAGTCGCCGAAGCTGGCACACTGCATTCTATTCCACGCGTCCCAGAGAGGGAAACAGTCCTTGAGTTCCCTCCTGTCTTGGGGACGTTGCATCCGCACGACGTCCTGAGGCGGCTTCTTCTTGCGCAGATCTTGGAGGCCGAGTTGCAGGCACAAGCGATCGTCCTGGAGACGCTGAACACGAGCCTCTACCACTGCCAGCTGGAGCTCCAGAGAGAGGTGAGGCCTGGCTGGAGAGAGAGCGCAGAGGAAGCCCAGAGCGCTGTGCTGTGCTGCGCCGCCCAGGAGCCTTGCCCCCGCCCCGCGGGGTCTGGGGAAGACGGCTATTCAAATTTATCTTTCAGAAAACCGTGGTGGGAAACCTGGAGAAACTGTTCCAGACGAAGCTTGCTGAAGCCGAAGAGAAGTACAAGTACACCATCCAGATCCTGACGGAGGAAAACATCTGCCTCAGGTACGGGGTACGGGGTACGGGTGCTGCCGCTCAGGGGACTTGGCTGAGTTACCCCTGAGAGTGGGGAGAGCGTCATAGGGAGCGCTAGGTCAAGACAAGCCAGGGACTCCCGACATTTGCGAGAAGGCGTGGCACTGAGCCTGGACACAAGCTTACCCCGGAGGTAGATTGTTTGAGGTGGGCGGTTTGTCTGTGGGATATCTAGAGTCCTCTCCCCTCAGTCTGTTTTTGTGTAAAACACAGGAAGTTTGCCTATGGATCTCTGAACGGCTTTGTCTTGTGACTAAGGGTTGTTTTTCAGAGTTGAATGGGTTTTAACTCTCAGATTTGGTTCTTCTGGTTCCTGTTGAGACCAGCTGCCAATCAGAATCACTATTCCCTGAAGGGGCTTCCTTTTTTTTTTTTTAATTATATAGGTTAATTAGAGTGTGTTGTATGTCTGGAGGTTTGTATATACATATACATACATATATTATTTTATTTTATATGCATCAGAGTGAGGATGTCAGATCCCCTGGAACTGGAGTTACAGACAGCTTTGAGCTGCCGTGTGGGTGCTGGGAATTGAACCTGGGTCCTCTGGCAAAAACATCCAGTGTGTTAAACACTGAGCCATCTCTCCAGCCCCTGAAGGTGCTTCTTAAACCACTAACACAGAAGATAAGTTACCCATCATGCCGATTTCCACTGGGAATATGATCACCCAGATACCACATTTCATCAGATTTAAACTATGATGAGGGAGACTACTTCCTCGGGCAGGAGAAAACCACACTTCTCTGCAAACACCCTATATCCCGTCTACCCTTCGAGGCTATAGCAGCAATGCACGGTTCTTCTTACAGGCAAAAGATGGTGACCAAGAATGAAATGTCCGACATGTCGGCGTCTGCTACTCCTTGTACGCCTGAGTCTGACTTTCCGAACGAACGTAGATAAGGAAGCGCGCTCCCCAGCTGTGTACACACCCACGCAGCTCCTATGGAACTATGGACTCCAGCAAGGCTTTTTGTTATGACTTTATTTTTGTCTTTTTGCATTCTCCAGAATGGTTAGAAATGTTTGAAATCTTATCTCAATTATATCGTGAATCTTCTGTGAAAACTGTTGTCGCCTGTCCTGGGGTTGAAACTTCTGTGTTCTGTGCAAATATTTCCTTTCCGGCTTCTTACATATTTTGATCAGAGACTGGTTTGAAGGGAATTCTTATTAAATGATGCATTATGAGGTGTGAATCTTGTCCCCCGAGGGCACATAGCAAGCACGAAAATTAATTGATTTAATTTCAAAAAAAATTTCTTAACTGATATATCATACGTCTTAGCCCAACGACTCAAAAAGACTAAGAGACGATTTACCCTGTCTCTGATCATCATGAGAATCCAGACACCCACAGGGGACCAACATCTACATGAAAGTGGGGTGGACACACAGGAACCCATCACGTAAGCAGGATGCCAAGGCCTCTGTGGAGACTTACACAAACCGAGGTGAACTCAGAGCCACCCCGTCCCTCATCACGACACTTCTTAGACTCATTGGATTGCCTGCCCTTTGGGTGCAGGGGGTCACTATGATTAAAAAACAAATTCTGGTTTGGCTTTTTGTTTGTTTGTTTGTTTGTTTATCAAGACAGGGTTTCTCTGTGTAGCCCTGGCTGTCTTGGGACTGTTAGGGTCCAAGAGAAACCCCTCAAGGAAGTCACGTATGGAATAACAAGATCACTTTATTAATTCCAACATTGGGGAGGCACATGGCAACCCCCAAGACAGTCACAAGCTCCTTTGAAGCAGAGTTGGGGAAATTCCAGGGAGAAGGGATTAATATGGGGCTGATTGATGGGAGGTTCTAGTAGTTGGGGACCTTCCAGCCGCAGGGCAGGGAAAGCTATCTTTAGTTATCAGGAGACTGGGGGTGGGGGCCCCTGCTGAGGCAGCAAAGGGGCTCTGGGAGCCTGCTGAGCTGGCAGAAGGCTGTAGGGCACCTGCTGATTGGTTGTTCCTGCTTTGTGGTTTTCCTGAGGACCATCTCGTTTTAGTGAACTGAAACTAAGGCTTGGACTCTATCAGGGCTACTAGGAGAACCCGTCTTGGCTCTGGTCGGCCTCCCCCCAGTCTCCTCTCATGCCTGCCTCTGCCTCCTGAATGCTGGGATTAAAGGCGTGAGCCACCGATGCCTGGTCAAATGTGTTTTTCATGTGGAAGTGATTCTTTAAGTGCCAACTATGAATGTTGTTCCACAGCCGTGGAAGTCATTACTAGAGGCTGAATGTTTCCCACGCGTGAACATGCCATTTGTCAAGCAAACAAAAAAACAGAAACAGCAGAGGCCAACACAGCCATCCCCTAGAAACAATAAGCTCAATTCACAAATTGTTCTACTTTTTAAAAACCACCTTTTCTTCTCGCTGACGGTTTATTTATAAAAATATATAATTCTACCAACACAAATTCAGTAAAAATATATACTAAAGAATAATTTGTAGGACAAACAACTCAGTTTTTTTAAAAAATATAAAAATATAGAAAAAACCTATACATTAATATGGGTTGAAACACAAGCAAAATCCAAGATAAAGATCTTGCTAGATCATTATTCAAGCTGTAAAAAAATGCAAGAAGATTGGGAAATTTTTAATACTGACTGTTCTTTGAAGTTTTAAAAGGCTTAGCTACCGAAAAAGCGCCTCATCTTGCAGCACGATTAATAAAAACTCAGGGACTCATAGAAATGAGTTAAGTTAAATGTAAGAGCTAGTTGGAAATAAGCCTGAGCAACAGGCCAGTTTGTAATTAGTATTAAGCCTCTGAGTGGTTATTTTAAAAGTAGCTGAGGGACTGGCCAGGACAGAAAAGTCACCGTTTACGCCTGGCACCTCACTGGGTGACAAATGAAGCATGATCCTAATTAGTCTTAATAATAAAAACTTGGAGTCAGCGAGGTAAGCACTGAAAGATCAGAGAAGCAAAGGAGCAGCCAAGGTCACTTCTTACCTCTCCTGTTCATGCTCCACCTTCTCACTTCTTCCCTCCACCCAGCCTTATCACTTCCTGTCTCCTGCCTGTACAGACCTCCAGATCTCTATGGCAAGCGTTGGCAGAACAGAAACAAAATATCACGTAGCATTTACCCATCCATATGTTGTGCGTATGTGGGAGAGTGTGCTTTGGAGATCAGAAGATAATTTAAGGGAGTCAATTCTTTCCTTCTACCATGTTGGTCCCAGAGATCAAACCACGTCATCGGTCTCGGCAGCAAACCCCGTTACCCAATGACACATCTCACCAGCCCTCATGTTCACCGTTTTTTAAAAACCAGAACGTTACGCATATTCACTGAAGATATAACAATATTAAAATTGATAAGTTTTACTTTCCCTCATGTGTATGTGTATGGTGAGGTACCTGTACATGTTCATGTCCATAAGCATATGTGTGAGGTCCACAGGCTCTTGCGTGCACATGTGCAGTCTCCCTCAATAACTCTTCATCTTCATCATTGAGGCAGGGGCTCTTCCGTAAACCCAGAGCCCCACACTGCTAGTCTGGCTACACAGCTTGCTCCTCCCTTCCAAGCGCTGGAATTATAGGAGGGTCAATATGCCCATGGGCATTTACATGGGTCCTAGGGATTCGAACATGGGTCCTTACGCTCGTTTGACAATACTTTAACCACTGAGCCACCTCCTTATTCCAGTCAAGTTTAACTCCTAACTGCACCAAGTAAACTTAGCTCTGTAACTATTTTTAAAGTTATTCCCTCCAAAACCCGAGGAAGCTTTTTCTTTTTATCACCTTGCAGGTTTCTTAACAGCCCTCGATTAATTGGGAAATTACCCTGGAGAGAGAGAGATGCTCAGAATTAGTGTCTGCAAAAGAAAACTAACCTGGAAGAATTACATGTTGCACATTAAAAAAAAAAAAAAAACACCCAGTGGTTAGCCCTGAAAACAGACATACAAGTAACAAGATGCACACGGAGACGGTTGTGTTTTTGAAAAAGATTATATATGTTTATGTAGCAACAACTCATGAAGAAAAGAACTCATGAATTTGAAAGAGAGGCAGGATTATGCGGGAAGGGGTAAAGGGAGGAAAGGGACAGGATAAATGATTTAATAGCTCAAAATAAAAGAAATCATAAAAAATAAATTAAAACCCACCCACCCACCCCCCAAAACAAAAAGTGCATGGACTAGCTGAGTGTCATCCACGTAGAGCACACATCAGTTGAGAGGGAAGAACAGCTTCTTCCGTAGCGTGAAGATGGGCTGGGGCATCTGTTTCCCCATGTTCCTCCTGTCATCTTTATTGCTCACATCATAGTTTACACCAGTCAGGATGCTGAGAATATCGTCACCTCTGAAACACAAAGCAACAGAAAGTGTTGATCCGGGGCACCATGGAGCTCACCGCCTCAGCAGCTGTACCCAAGGAAACTGCTCTAGTTCTGTCTCTCTGGATTTGAAGTTGTTGAGTCGCTGAATCAAGACCCTACGCCCCAACTATCCTGACAACTCAGTTTCCTCAGAGCCCACTGAGGTATCTGTGGTTTGCATGGGATCTCTGCTGATGATGGGAAGCCTCAGCATTCCCAACAGAACCGAGCTCCTTCTCTCCTAGTATGTGTGTTCCTTGCTGTGTCCCATGGATGGTCATCTGGGCCCCACAAGGGCCTCAACCACTCCCAATGGCCTCTGCCTAGATCAGCACTGCTCCCACAGAACTGGGCACGGATTTCTACCAACGTGCAGGCAAGTGAAAGTCAAATGCTTCCTGCAGCCATCTCCACCCCTTTGTCATCAACTGACTGAGTAATCTCGTTGGGCAACCTTTTCATTTCTCTGTGTAGCTGACACAGATCCCGCAGGACTCATGGTCTGTGTTACGAAACGAAGCCACCACACTGACGTCATGGTCTACTCTCCACACCCTTCACACACTGGAAATGTAAGACACAAATCTAAAAGAATCCCATAGAAGGGCTCCTCATTGTTCAGCTGTTAGCTGGGTGGGCATTGGAGAACCTGAAAGACAGTGCCCTAATTTAACTGAAGATGAACCCATGTCATAGGGATAGTGTCCCACATCTGTGGCTTAAAAAAAAAAATCAAATTAGTGGAAACATAGGGTTTCCTACTCTTTGCTACGTCCCACAGTTTACTAGGAAGAGCAAAGACTAGAGAGCTTTTATAGGGTTTCTTTTCCAATTTTTTTGAAATTATATTTACTTATTTGTATGTGTGTGAAAGAGAGAGAGAGAGAGAGAGAGAGAGAGAGAGAGAGAGAGAGAGAACATGGCCTACATGTGGCGGTTATAACAACTTGAGTTGGTTTCTCCATCACATAGGTCCTGGGGATTGAACTCAAATCATCAGACTTGACAGGAAGTACATTGACCCACTAAGCCGTCTTGCCAGCCCTAGACTAAGACTTCTGACAAAGCTGAAATATGTTACAGTGGATGATTTCCCTCTGGGAAGACTCCCCAAAGAATTGGGATTGCCTCTGTCATGCTGCTGCCCAGAGACAAAGAGCTGGACTGTGTGATATTATCATCCTCTCCCGCTCTGTGGTGCCCTGGCTGCTGAACAAAGGAAACTCCTCATTTTCACTAGTTTTTCTCATCTAAGAACTAAAGAGAGTAATATGTGCCCTCTCTTCCACTTTGCAACCAACCTGGAAAAAATAACTATATGAGTTACATTCCGAGATGAAACACTCGCCATGGGCACTTCTTGCTACATATTATCTCAACCATTAACACCTTCTAACAGGTTCTGACGACGGCCGCGAGGTAGCATAACCCTGAGAAGGACCCAGAAGGCAAGACTCACAGAGGACATCTTTCTCGCAGGCTCTCGCAAAGTGACTGGATGTACCAGCTTCCGCGCATGGGTTCTCGGTAGGAAACACAATATTTCACAGTAGCCATCCCCAGCAGAAAGTCAGCCTCATCTGGAATATAGTTCTTTTGAGATGATGAATCCATGTCTAAGTAGTTGTCCCTCTCCGAGTCGGTCTCAACAGGTACAGCTTTATGGAAGCTATCCCCTTGACAAGCCTGAATGAAAAAGACTTTGGGTTTTCCAGCCAGAGAAGGACAATTTGAACCAGTGAAATACGATGTCAGCTCTCGGATGGAGGCTTCCTTCCCATCGGTGCCGTAGATGATGCCCTTGTCTCCGTGGGAGAGGATGCAGCAGATGAAGCAGTCTTTGCTCTCGTGGTCCAGTCTCTGGAAGGCTCTTAGGATCGCATGGATCTTACTGACTGTGCAGTCTTTGTGAGACACGACCTCAAAATGAAGCTTTTGAAAGGTCTCAGTCAACGCGTCTGAAAGATAAAAGGGGAAACAATATTACAAGAGTTCGCAGAACACAGCCCAAGATGGATAAAACACTAACAGGCAGGAATGAGAGCCTGGGATCCCTGGGCGAGGTCGTCTGTCCTGCTAACTGGAGTCCGTGGGCACCGAATGTTCTCAGCGAAAGCACTATGCCAGGAAGCTAGTTTGTTGAGCTCTTGCATCATGAAGATAATTTCTACTCTCATTCTCTCTGGCAGTTTGGCTAAAGAGAGAGTGTTCTTTCCAAATCCCCTTCCCTCTGAATTTTCATCTTAGCCTCCATGTTCGCTATTATGAGATTCAATGCCATTTGGATCCCTGGCTTCTTTATATAGTTGACTTATTCTCAACCTTCATCTTCTTCCCTCTTAATTTCTAAGACGCAGCAAGCTCTCTCAGTCCGGAGACTGCGCCCTCTCTTCTTGGATAGTTCCACTCCTTGTCTTTATACGGAACTCGTGGTCACAGGTCAAGCATCTTTAACCAGTATCCCTGTTTTCTTATTCTCCTGTTCTGTTTTCCATTGTCAATTCGTTTCTGTCCAGCTCTCTGAGACTTGATCTTCCACACTTGTATTGTTGCTCATATATTTAAATTTTTTTATAATTATCATTTTGTGTGTTATGGGTGTTTTGCCTGCATGTAGGTGTGTGTGCACTACATGCATGCCTGGTGCCCGCAGAAGCCAGAAGAAGACACTGGACCCCTCCTGGAACTGAAGTTGTATACAGATGGTTGTGAGCTGCCATGTGGTCACTGGGACCTTGCCGTGCACCGCGCCCCCCGTGTCTGCGCTCTGTGAGCTAGAACCCAGTTGCCAAGCTTTGGGCAAGGGGCTGGAGGTTGAAAACTCAAACGCAGAGATAGACTGACACACGCAGCTCCCAACGCTGGTTCAGAAAACCCCTCTTTATTAACACCATGTAGACTGAAATACACTGCAGTTAATGGTCAACAGGTGATCCTCTGATCCTCTAACTAGGCACAGCTTCTAGTAACTTATATTAAAAGGTTCTAGGAGGGAAAAACAACTGAAGGCCAGGACTCATTAGTCCCAACATCTCTCCCCTAAATTTTTTATAAAACAGAAGACCCTCCTATCTTAGGTCATCTCAGAAGAGTAAACCCTTACCGGTCTTTGGGAGGCCCCTTCCCTGTCTTAGGTGGGCTCTCTTCTGTAGAAGTTGCCCGTCTGCGGAGGAATCTTCATTGTTGGTGCAGTATTTGCAACCAAACCTTACTGGCCAACAGGGTCAGAAGGACTTGCTAAGTGACCATATGCTGCATTCTCATGGGTTTTCTGATCTTACACAGAATTTAGAGATGAATGCCCATGGCAACAGGCATTGATTCCCAGCAATAGGGTCCCCAATTACCACTGGACCCAGCCTCCCATTTGGGCTATGGTATTCAACCATCCTTTTGGCTAAACAGTTACAATCTGGTGTGCTAATTGTAACATTTCAAGGGCTATTCAAGTAACCATTGAGTTGTTTCACCACATAAGAGGCATTAGCAATATTAACAGATGTCATACAAATGAAATCATGAACAAGACATTTGTTGTACTAGCCATAAATCCACCTGCTCCTACAATAGGGCAGTCTCTTGATTTAAATTCGTTCTGCCACAGACTCTTTGGCGTGTAGAGCCTAGAACTGCCACTGTCTTTTTCTTGCTCCACGGCTGCGTTCTCGGGCAGCCCAGTGGGGTCTGTTCTCCAGCTTGTCTCAGCTCCAGCACGTGTTGTTGCATTTGCTGATACTCCTGGCACTGCTGTGACATCCACCAGGCTAGGCACCGACTGGGCTGAGGCAATGTGCCTTCCACCACAGCCATCTAGCAAAGCTCTGCTCCAGCTGCCTTCTAGCCCCAGCTGCATTCGTTCTGGGTCCAAACTGGTGCATGGGGTGGAGCAGAATTCAGGAAAGCAGGCACTTGCTGCTCTGCAACCACTGAAGGGGGCTCCACTTAAACAATCTTTTAGGGAATTTGGGCATTGTCAATCTGTCTGGCTACTTCCTGCTGAGTGGGGGCACTGCATTCTTAGGGGTATTTACTGCAATTTACTGCCATTTTCCAGCCGAGCTCGGAAGTGGGTCATGGCAAAGGGGAAGAGGTAGAGGCTCCACCTCCCCATCAAGCTGCCACTCACACTCCACTGCTACATATCAGGAGGTCTCGGGGATTCAAACCACATGAATATTGAATAAATCCTTAGGCTCTCATCGTCTGTGGTGACAGAAACAGAACCTCCTTTCCAAAACATCAAATTCTTAAGTCCATATATTTTTTATTTTATTTATTTATTTGTTTGTTTGTTTGTTTGTTTCGAGACAGGGTTTCTCTGTGGTTTTGGAGCCTGTCCTGGAACTAGCTCTTGTAGACCAGGCTGGTCTCGAACTCACAGAGATGTGCCTGCCTCTGCCTCCCAAGTGCTGGGATTAAAGGCGTGCGCCACCACCGCCTGGCTTAAGCCCATATTTTAAAGTCAAAATACCTTTCTTAGCAGTTCCTAGAATCAAATGTCTTTCTCCAGTCCAGAACACAAAAGACAACACAATCAACATATCATACATCTGTACACATTTATCTTTTTAAGCTATATACGTTCTTTCTATCTTTTCCCAATACATACGTCCTCTCCGGCCGGGGACAACCCTGTTCGTTTCCCATAACAGTGGCCAGGGAAGGGAAGGTAAAAGGGAAGTCTGTGGGTTTACCCCTTTGTCAAAGCAGAAGCAGGGCCCAAAGAAAGGGCCAACTTCCCTCCATTAAGTTGAAGGACAGCAGCTACAGGTAGGTTGGAAGCAGCCAAAGGCTAGGCCAGAAGGTGGGCGGGAGTCCAGGATCCAAGCCCTGCAGGTGACATCACCACGGGGGCTTCATGGGCTGAGGATTCTGCAGATGGGACATCACCACGGCAGAGATCGAGAGCATGATGCTTCTCATCGTCTGCTTGGTGTCCTCCGAGCTCCGGGAGTTGGCAAAGCTGATAAAGCAACAGTAGACAGCCGCCCAAGCACACCATTTCAGCTTCAGCATGAGGCCGCACAAGCTAAAGGTCATGCCGAGGAGATTCACGTAGTCTGGGGTCGGGTCGTCCAAAGCTGGGTTGCACTCGCTAGGCGGAGGCTTATACCTCAGCACTTCGTTGGGTCTCCGTGGGTCGGACCACTGTCTGCTTACCTCTCTTGGAACTGAACCTGGGTCCTCTGGAAGAGCAGCCAGTGCTCTTAACCACTGAGCCATCTCTCCAGCCCCCATTTTTTATATTCTGATACTATGAAGTGTTTCATTTAACTTGTAAGTTCTCGACATTGACATAAACAGGCTGCCGGCAAAGCATTTCTGGCTCAGGGGAAGAGCACTTGCTGCTCTGACAGAGGATTAGAGTTCAATTCCCAGCTTCTGCTCCAGGGGGATCTGATGTGTTCGTCTGAGCTCCTGGGGCATCCACGCACATATGGGCACACTCACATAGATAAATAAATTTCATAAATAAAAATGAAATAATTTTTTTTTAATTTCACTGATGCTCTTCATTATAAACCTTTTATTAAGGGCTGCCATTGTAACATGATGCAGAACTAACAGATATGTAAGAACGTTCTTTACCTCCACGAGGAAATAGTAAATAAAATGAACAAAAATTGCTTGACACATTTCCTTGAACTCCATTGTCTCAAAACATAGGGCCTTTTAGGTATAATCATTATCTCTCCTTTTTTTTTATTTTTTTTTAAAAAAAAGTCCCACAGGGATAACCCACCCCCACCCCGTACTTCTCCTTTGGAATCGACTGTACCTTCATCACGTTCTGTTCCCTTCCTGTCCTTCATCTTGCGGAGTCTGGGTACTCTCTCACGCGCCTCGCTGAAATTGTAATTGTTGACGATCAGACAGTATCCGCGAGGTTTGCTCTTCATTTGATATATTCTATCTGATACCTAGAAAACAAAAGCCCAGTCCGGGAAATGACCCTGCAGCTCAGACATGAGCTGGGCGCGAACCCATTTTCCATGAAGCCACACCCACCCCCCGCCCACCCACCCCCGCACCCATTTTCTCTGAAGCCCTCCCACGCCTCCCATACGTGCATCCATTTTAGTTGGTACAGTTGCTAGAAGAGGGAGGTCTCACACATCCTCTACCTTCCAGCAATTCTTAGACCTTTGCTTTTGGTCTGAGAATAAAACTAGAGCTTGGTGTGGCGGCTCACACCTATAATCCCAGCACCTGGGAAGTAGAGGTGGGGGGGGTCAAGAATTCAAAGGTCATTCTGGGCTATGTCACGAGTTCAAGGCCAATCTGAGCTATTGGGGACCCTGTCTCAGACTACAAGCCAACAAACCAAACAGGGGTGGTAGTGATAATTTAAAATAAATAAAATTGGAGAGGCCACATCCTCAACTGGTTTTTTTGTAGGTTTTTCTTCCCCAGAGTTTTCAAGATTTCCAAAAGGCTCCACCCCTTATGGGCTCATCTGGCAGCTTAAAAGGAGCCAACAAATGCCCAGAAACAGAAACTTCAGTAGGAAGAGGGAGGGAGGAGGTGTGTGTACCTGGGAGTCGATGTCTTCTTCTCTTAGGGAGTCATACATTTCCTGCATTGTGATGCAGCTCTGTCCTGTAAGCAACCGAGAAACACGTGCAAAGTGAGAGGCTTGGGGGCAAAGGTTGTTTGGGAAGGAAATATGGAATTCCTAGGACAACCTAAGAACCTTAAAAACATTTCACGTGCGTGTGTGCGTGCGTGCGTGTGTGCACGCGTGCACGTACGTGTGTGCATGTGTGTGCGTACGTGCCTCTGTGTGCGTGCGCGCGTGTGTGTGTGCGTATACGTGCGTGCATGTGTGTGCATATGTGCGTGCGTGTACGTGCATGCATGTGTGTGCGCACGTGCCTCTGTGTGTGTGCGTGTGTGTGCGTGTACATGCGTGTGTGAGTGTGCGCGCGCGCGCCAAGCATTCTTGCACATATGCCTGACGGAAGGAGCACTCATGCAGTGGCATGTGTGTGGAGACCAAAGAGGACTTTGCAGGGTTGGTTCCTTCCTTTCCTTTACATAGTTCCAGAGGTCAAACTCATATCACCTGCCCTGAAAGTAGACTTTTACCTACTAAGGCATTTCACTGCCCCTCCCCCCTTTAGAGGGTAAACATTGAGGCTGCCTTGAACATATTTCAGACGTGTAGATCTTGCAGGAAGGGCATTTAGCATGAACTGGAACCCAAACTGCTTCATCTATGCTGTGGTCATTGATCAAAGAAGGAGGTAAGGATGAGCCGGTGATTCAAACACTGAAGTGCTGGCTCAGGCAGGCCTGGACAGGGGGATGGACTCACTGGCTCTGTGACTTGACCTTCTAAGGGAGGGTGATCCTCAGGGTGAGAGATGGCTCAGCTGCTGAGAGCTTATCACCCTTTGCTGAGGGCCAGAGGTTCCCAGTGCCCACGTGGTAGCTCACAAACAATCTCTAACTCCAGTTCCAGAAGATCTGATACCATCTTCCGACATATCCAGGCTCCTGCACAGATGTGGCGTGCGTAAACTCGCTCAGCCACATGCACTCACACATAAATTCACAATAAATCAGGAGAATACTCCAAAATGTATTACATGGCAAAAATAATAGTGAAAACATAAGAAAGACATTAATGTTTACAGAGTGCTGGTGGTCCTGTTTTAATTTTCTCTGAATTTAAAAATCACCCCCAAGGTGATTTTAATAATTATATAAGTTTTAACATAATATCTGATTAGTAAAAAAAATTGGAGGGGGCTGCAAGAGCTTTTGCTACTCGTGCAGAGAATGCAAACTTAGTTCCCGGCACCAGCACAGTGTTCACAACCATGTGGAACCCCAGTTTCAGGGGATTTGGTGCCCTCTCTGGCCTTCATGGGCACAGACACGCATGTGAACATGCTCCCATGTGTATACACAGTTGGAAAGAAATTTGAAGGAGCCAGGCACAGTGATGCACGCCTTTGATCCCAGCACTAGGGAGTGAGAGGCAGGTAGATCTGTGTGAGTAGAAGCTGGGCTGGTCTACAGAGCGAGTCCCAGGCTAGCCAGGGCTACATAGGGAGACCCTGTCTCAAACAAACAGAAAATAGAAGGAAACCTTCTGCTGGTCCCATCTATCTTTCCTAGGCAAGAAAATAGATAGAGGTCTGGATGTGTTTCCTTCTGGGGTAAGACAGGGGATATGGCTGGAGCATCCCAGGCTAAGGCAGGCACAAAGCAGAGGAAGTCAGGTACGGTAGGAGCCTGGACTTACCCAGAGACTGGGAAGGACTATGAACACTTGACCAAGGGGCTTCTCACCGAGCAGAGAACCTTGGTCGAGAACGTTCTGGGGGAAAAGTCAGGTTGGTATGGCCCCTGTATTTGATTCTAGCACTTGGCACAGAGGCAGGCCAATTTCTGTGATTTCAATGACAGCCTGATGTACACACACTCCAAGACAGCCAGGGCTGTGTAGAAAGACTCTGTCTCAAACAAATCAAAACGAAAGAATGTTCCAGAAAATCATCTGCATCCAGCTCCCCATGTCTCTCCATGAAAGCAGACACAGCCAGATCAGAGTTGAGACTCTCTTGCAGAATAACTGTGTGCTCATTTCAGATGGTCCCACGGGAATTTTGCGGCCCTTTTGGCCTTTCAGACAGCAGCAGAGGTGTCAAGTGGCCCCTGAACTTTCATCCTGACATTAGGCTGTAGCAGAAGGTGGTGGGAGGAAGGCTTGGGGAAATCAAGCGCCCTGGCATCTAAGAAATGTATCTGTAGGGCTGGAGAGGTGGCTCAGAGGTTAAGAGCACGGACTGCTCTTCCAAAGGTCCTGAGTTCAATTCCCAGAAACCACAAGGTGGCTCACAACCGTCTGTAATGAAATCTGGTGCCCTCTACTGACCTGCTGACAAATGTAGGCAGAATACTGCATACATAATTAATAAATTGCTGGGCAGTGGTGGTGCACACCTTTAATCCCATCACTCAAGAGGCAGAGGCAGGCGGATCTTTGGGAGTTCGAGGCCAGCCTGGTCTACAAGAGCTAGTTCCAGGACAGGCTCCAAAGCTACAGAGAAACCCTGTCTTGAAAATAAAATTAATTAATTAATCTTTAAGAAATGTATCTGTAAGCATTACCATCCGAAAATGAACCTGACGCCTCTGCCCCGTATTCCAGGCTCATTCTTCTCTCTGAATTAAAAAAAGAAGAAGAACTTGATCAGGAAAAAAGAACTGCGAACTCTAGGGGCTTTGTCACCTCGCAGCCATCGCCGTCTACCTCTGTTTGATTCTTCAAACTCTTCGATGTACCGCAGCAGACTTTTGTTGACATGTTCAAAGATTGACTTCAGGCTGTCCAAGTTGTCTTCCCCTAGGATGAGCCTCTTCTCCATTTCCACAAAAACATCCAGCAGGCTCTGGGGAGGAGAAAGCAGGGGACAGAGGGACTCAGTGCCCAGGCCTGGGGGTTAGGTTTCGTTTCCTGCAATTCCACTCCTTCCAAAGAAAGGGTCTAGCGTTATTTCCCAAGTAGACCCCCCACCCCCCACCTCTGAGCACAGGCTGATCTCTCAGAGTTGACAGGAATCAGAAAGGCCATTCTGTGTTTTCCAGACTAAAAGGATAAAAAAGCAGAAAGATAGAGAAGCCATGTCAGATGTCCCCAGGCCTTGTTCTCAAACTTTATGTGGGTGCCTTGTCTATGGACCAGCCGGAGGAGAATGGAAGGCACAGCCCTGGAGCCTGCATTACACCGCTGTCTTATCCACCCCTAAACCTCAATTACTACACACATACACAGAGACACATGCACCACACACACAGACACACACAAATGCACAGAGATACACTTGGACAAAGCCTCCATCAAAATTAGACCATACACCACACAGCGCACAAAGACACGACCACACAGAGAAACCTGCACACGTAGCTACTACACATATATAGACTCAGACTAACAGGGGGACGACCCAGAGGTACACACAGACACACACAAACGCACAGAGATACAGTTGGACAAAGCCTCCATCAAAATTAGACCATACACCACACAGCACGCAAAGACACGACCACACAGAAAAACCCATACTACACATATGTAGACTCAGACTAACAGGGAGACCACTCAGAGGTGCAAACAGGTACATATGCCTCACATACACATAAGAAGCACACACAACATATACAACATGGAGACACAGACACATACATCATACATCCTGCTCATAAAAACAGATACCAAAAGTGGTATTTTAAGGGCAGCAGAAGTGAGGAAGCTTCAACCCCAGGCTACCTTTCCTCCCTGGCCAGGCTAGGTCTCATAGCACCGTACAACTTACCTTCCCTGGCTCTGTCCTGTGGCTAAGCACTTTACAGTGTAGAGGCACCAAAGCCATAACTACTACCCCTGCCTAACTATTTTATTTTCCCTGGGTAAGAAGTGAGAACACGGGGGCTGGGCATAGCCCAGCTGGAAGAGGGCTTGCCTGTCATGCAAAAGGAGCTGAATCTCATCCTGGGAGCACACACGTTGGGAGTGGCGGCATATGCCAGTGATCCCAGCACCCAAGAGGCGAAGGCAGGAAGATCAAAAATTTAAGGTCATCCTCAACTAGAGAGCAAGTTTAGGTTCAGCCTGGGCTACGTGATACCACGCCTCAAGCAAACAGATGAACAAACAGAAACAACCTTGAATGCAGTCTGCTGTTGGCAAAACCCTGTCCTCTGGTTTCAGAACCCCCGCCGGTGACCCATCTCCAGGACATCCCAGGTCTTACCGCGTTATCGTGCAGCTTACATTTGGGGATCTTCCTTTCCAAGAAAAACTTAAACTCTTTCAACTCCAAATCACTCACGTGTTCTGAGAGCTTAAAGAGCATTACCCTGCGGTGGGAAATGGAGACACTTGAGAAACACATCCTAGGTCGCTCCCAGGGCCAACTCTTCCCCACTCGTGAGCCCCGGGTGGAGGCTAGAGAGTGGTGGGAGTCCACCAAGTCAGACCAACCGACCCACTCTGGGCGGAGTCTCACCACCTTTGTCTTCCAACTAACTTCAGCTAAAAGAATCGTGTTGCTTTGTGTCGTGATTAAAATCAAGATGGTAGGATGATCTGGGGGAATTATATTCCCCACAATGCATATCAGAACTGATTCCCTTCCAAGAGCTGGTCAATGACCCAGCCATTTCCTTCGGGAAGAAGGCTGAATTTGGTTGCAAAATAAAAGAGACTCTGAACACACACATATACGCACACACATGCACACACACAAGCACACCTCCACTCTTACCAATACCAAAGGTCCTGAAGCTCTCAACACAACCAACTGCCCTGTGTTCTCCCCACCATGGAGGCAAGATCGCCATTTTCGGACTGAGGTTGAGGTAAGAGCCAGTGGCTGGCTGCTTTGCTTTTCTAACCTTCAGGTTGAACCCCAATTTCTCTCTCTGAGTTTTTATTAATCGTATATCAAGTCTGTTGATAAACTGCCAAGTCCCCTGACAGCCTGGCTCATGCCTTTTTCATTTCCATTAACCTGAGATTTCAGGAGATGCATTGTCTGAGTATAGATGCCTCAGAGTACCCTTGATATAACTCTGGGTCCCACCATATTTTAACTGTGTAATTTCAGACATGTTGCAAATTTTTTGGCTCATTTGTAGGTAAAAGATAAATGTATATCCACATCACAGACATGAGAAAATTATGTAAGTTTCCATAAACTACAGTCACCTAAAAATAAGCGTACATTCTGAGATCCTCATCAAGTGATTTCTTCGTTTTGTGAACATCACAATGTGGTCTTAAACAAGAGGACTATGACATCACTAGTGAGGAACCCAGGACCAACATCACATATAAGGTCCCTGTTGCCCAAACTGTTAGGCAGCACGAGAAAGCACACTAAGAGTTCAGTAAGTGACAGAAGCTGTCTTAGTTAGGATTTCTATTGCCGTGAAGAGACACCGTGACCATGGCAACTCCTACAAAGGAAAACATTTAATTTAAAAGTTTAGACCATTATCATCATGGTGAGACGTGGTGCTGGAGAAGGAGCTGAGAGTTCTACATCTTGGTCCACAGACAACAGGAAGTGAACTGTGTCACTAGGTGTAGCTTGAGCATAGAGGACCTCAAAGCCCACTCCCATAGAAACATACTTCAACAAGGCAACACCTACTCCAACAAAGCCACACCTCCTAATAGTGCCACTCCCTTTGGGGGTTATTTTCTGTCAAACCACCAAAGAAGCGTTTTTTATTTCTGGGCATATTTAATTAAGATCTTGGAAAATGCTTGCCAGATGAATAAACAAAAGAATGTTTTAGGAGTCAGCAAAATTAAGGATAAAGATGTAGCTCAGCAGTGAAGAGCACATGAAACTCTAGCAGAGAACTGGAGTCCAATTCTGGGCATCCAAATCAGGCAGCTTACAACCAGCAGTAACTCCAGTTGCAGCAGAGGGACAACGTTCCTGGCCACTGAGGGCACCTCTACTAAAATATACATACCCAAACATTACATGTAATTAAAAATAAAAATAAGAAAATCTTTAAACTTTTGGAAAAAAATAAGTCAGCAAAACTTTCAACAATATTGTGTAAAGAAAAATATCTTTAATAGGCAAATATGATGGTTTCCAAGTTGAATTAGGAAACAGAATTCTGGAAAAAGAAATAGTCTGGAAATGGAAGCTACCCCATGTTACCAACATCTCAAGAAATGTCTATCCCAGAAACACTTCCCTAAAGCATTCTCAGCTTGGCCCTGATTGGTCCAGCCCAAAGCTACTGTGGCTCTTTTAACTTTGGAAACAAACAAACAAACAAAAACAGCGGGTTCCTATTGTGTAACAGTTTCCTCTTAGATTGAAACACTCTATCCTGCTGGGAAACTCCTCCAGCAGGAAAGTAAAAAACCCAAAATAGCTCCTGGAAGTCCCTGAAACTGATCAGATTCACTTAGACCAACCATGCCAGAGAAAGCAATAAAAGCTCATTGACCTCTTAAACTGAAGGAAGTTTAGCTGCAAAGACTTAGCTTTAAAGTCTAGCTGCAGAGACCAGAGCAGCTGCCTGGAATAAAAAGAAATCAGCTCAACTGCCTGGAAGGATTAGAACAGCTGAGGACCTGGATAGGACAGGTCCAGCCTGTTGAGCTGACTGCCGGCTGGCTGTTCCATGAGCTCCAGGTTCCCAGCTCTGTGGGCTGTCACCCATGCTGGGGTGGGCTTTGGTGATGCAGCTGTCTTTGCATCATTTCTGCTCCTGTAAGTAGCCCCTCACCAACATTCCTATAAGGAACCCCAAGAAAACTCATTGGTTCACCAAGTTGGACTTTGGCATGTTCCTATCTAGGGAGAGCAGACGTGTGTGTTGTATCTCCCCAGGAAAAGTTTCGTCACACAACAGTCCCTTATCGTCCTCATGACTGAGACCCACGGGCTTCATTAGTGTTATTAGTAACACACTGGAATAGTTTGTCAGACGCTGTGGAGGCAGAAGTTAAAATACGAAAAGAGAACACCTAGAGCATCCTATGGTGGGGCACGACACACGCATATTTTCATTCTCTTGGCTCATCTGAATCAATGACCAACAAGCATTCAGCAGTGACCCTTTGTTGACCCTTCCACGTGCAATCAACGAGTTTAGGTATCTGGCATTTCCTGGGAGACAAACACTGTTGGTGGTGTGGTTTGCTTCAGCCTAGTTCACAAGGTGGGAACTTTTAAGAGCCCCAGACGGTGGCACAAGCTGAGGACACACACACACACTTGACTTTCCTAGTTCTGGGGCCATCATTTCTTAAGATGAATAGGCGCCTTAATATTCATTATAAACTCCTTATAAAGATCAATAATCTAGTAAACCCAAACAATACAGCATTCCTGGTTGACTTATGTCTAGTAGTCCCCTCAAACATCACCATATACCTAGACGGTGAGGAGGTGGCCTAACTTAGGTCATAATGGAGGAGGGTGGGGCCTGACCCAATGTCTGGTGTCCTAATGAGCCTGATTTTTTTATTTTAATTTTATTTTTTATTTTACAATACAGGATTTGTCTGTGTAGCCCTGGATGTACTAGAACTCTCTCTGTAGACCAGGCTGGCCTCAAACTCAAAGATCCATCTGCCTACCTCTGTCTCCCAAGTGCACCACCAACCACACCAAGCTAAGTTATTATTTTAAACATTCAGTCTGTGATACTTTATGATGATGGCCCTAGGAAACCAATACACCCAGTCAAGTGCAGTCAAGCCTGAAGTAGGAAGCCATAGGACAAGGAAAGAGTGGCTGCCGATGCTGGCTGTGTGGCTCTCCCATGCCAAGGTTACTGACGAGGAAGGAAGGCTAAGGCTTAGGTAGCAGTGCTCGGAGAAGAGCTAAAACTCGCTTCAAGGACAGCTGAGCACAAGACACGTTGAAAAGGAGAAGGGGACAAAGTGCTTCTGCTTTAAAAAAAAAAAAAAAACCGAGCCACTGACCCATGACCCCGTGACTCTGTGGAGCTCACAGTTGCCCACTTTCCCTAGGGTGGGGAGAAGTGGAGTTCCCAATGCCAAAAGGATCTGGAGTTGCTGAGAAGACGGGTCTCTGGGCAGGTCTGTAAAGGGGATTGATTGGATGAGCTGAAGTAGGAAAAGCCTGGCATCCTTACTTGGGCCATAGTCCCAGACAACATAAAGAGGAAAATGAGCTGGGCACCAGCTTTTTGTCTCTCTTAGCCTCCTGACTGCGGGGATGTGACCAGACAGCTATGCCAGCTCCTGTCACCATGACTACACCACGACTGGCTACACCCTACGAGTATAAACCGAAATAAACACTCCTTCCTTTACGTGGCTTCTGTCACGGAACCAAGAAACAGAACTAATACGCATGGCCAGTCCTCCTGAGTCGGTGGAAAGCTGAGGTTCAGTCGGTCTGTAGGGCCAAGCATCAGGGGAGAACCCTGTCATCTGAGTAGCAAAGCCGTGGAAGGGTTCTACATGTATGCAAAGCAGGTGAGTGGGGGATGGTTAGTGTGGGAAGCCGTGACCCAGGCCCTAACCATGGACAGAGTGGACACACGTGGTGGGTGTCAGAAAGCAGCGCCACCAAGAAGAGAGTGTCACAGATGAGTGACTCTGCCCTTCTTAGTAAACCAGGGCGGTTGTCTCAGTTCTTACGTTGCTGAGGAGAAAAAGCACAGATAAGGGATCAGGTATTCATGGCTTATTTCAGCGGGTGAGCACACCTCCAGAGTTCTCTGTTCCTATCCCCACCCCTTCACCTACACCCCTGTCCAGCCAAGGGGCAGCGAAGGGTGATCCCTTTCCTGGAGTAGACCAAGGCCAGGCGCTCTTAGGATGCCACATTGTTGTCCTTTCCCCTGGCAAAGTTACTAACTTGGTAAGTAGTCACACATTTATCCGTATTTTGCATCTGATGTAACGTTGTAACAGATTGAACTGTGGGTACCCAGTGACTCATGGCGGTTTGAATGGAAACTATCCTTCATAGGCTCTGTACCGGAACCCTCGGTCCCCAGGCTGTCTGGACAGGTTGTGGAACTTTTAGAAGGTAGACTAGCCTTGCCCCACTTGCATTTTTCACTTCCTGTTTCCTGCGGATGGGGGGATGTGAGTTCTCTGCTTCCTGCTCCCGCCACCGTGCCAGCTTTGTTACCCTGTTACCACTGCCATTATTTCTCCTCTGCAACTGTATTCTAAAATGCACTCTTCTGTCCTTGGGTATTTGTCTACATCCTGTGAGGACTTGTCTTACATTTGGCCTCCCCTACCTAAGGCAACTGATTGGTTTGATAAAGAGCTGAATGTTCAATAGCTAGGCAGGGGAGAAGAGGTGGGCCTCCTGAGGAGAGAGGAACTCAGGATGAATCTAGGCTTGCAGGAGATGCTAGCCCAGACGCGGAGGAAGTCAGACATATAGAACAGAGAGGAGGTAAAAAGCCACGTGATAATATGTAGATTAATAAAAACAGGTTAATTTAAGTTATTTAAGAGCTAACTGGAAACAAGCCTAAGCTAAAAGTCAAGCTTTCATAATTAATAATAAGTCTCTGTATCATTATTTGGGGGCTAGTGGTCCAAAAAAAAAAAAAAAAGAGGCCTGACAAAAAAGACCAACTACGTTTGGAGCTCCACACACGGCATGCAAATACACATAGGGCCTGAGAAAGCCGGGAAAATGTTCTGAACATGGTACCAGTCACAGCTTGCCCGTAATGGCAGTCTCTCATGCAGAGCTGAGGCTTGAGGGGTACAGGGGCACAGTTCCTTTAAGAAGTCCTGCAGTGCAACTGAGCACCTGAATGGCACCCTACTTAATAGGATGGGACACTAGATAGAAACAACAGCCACAACGCAGGCGCAGAAACTTACCAAAGCTGGATCTAGGTGGCGGCCCACAGGCATGAGGCTCGGCTCTCTTTGACCCAAATGGGACAGAGTCAGCTGCCAGCACCGTGTGCTAAGCAGAGCCCCACTACAGGTAGCCAGCAGGTTAAGGTTTGTCTCACGTGGTCAGAGAAACAGCAGATATACACGCACACGCACAAATGCACACACATTTGCGAGGTCCAGGCCAAGAAAAATCTCTGAACAAGTAACAGTAGTCTTTAAAAAATGTGCTTAGATGCCAAAGAAAGAAAAGAAGA